GACTGAGACTGAGACTGAGACACGGGGTCAGCAGCTTGTCAAGGCTAAATCCAGACACAGGGCCAGAGAGCACAGCAGGAAAAGCACTTGTCTTGCACACATCAGCAGGTCCAGGTTCCATTTTCTTTCACTTTTCAAAGAATTGCTTGCAGGTCCTTAAGAAAGGTCATCCCCAAGTGATCTGGCTAGAGGGTTTTTCAAGTTTGAAAATTTTGTTTGTTTGCTTTTGGGTCAGTGTTGCTGGCAGTGCTGCTCAGGGCTGACTCCTGGGTCTGTACTCAGGGATCATTCCTGGAGAGGTCCAGCGCCCTGTCTCTGTACCATCTCTCCAGCCTCTGGAGATTTATATACATATATATATAATAAATATATATACATAACATTATATCTATATATATCAAAAGGGTGGAGAGGGGCCAGAGAGGTAGTACAGCAGGTAGAGCATTTGGTTGCAAGCAGCCAACCAGGTTCGAATTCCCATGTTCCATATGGTTCCCTGAGTCCTGCTGCCAGTAATTCCTGAGTGCAGAGCCAGGAGTAACCCCTCAGCATCACCAACTGTGTCCCAAAAGCAAAAACCAAACAAAGGATGGATTTAGATTGGCCAGTTATCTAAAGCCCTGTTCTTTAACTGGCGATCCATGGATTGGTGCTGGTTTGTGGGGATTTCCAGACATTCACCCAACAACTCTAAACCTCTAAACAGCACCAGATGTTGCATTTGCTAAAATATGCCCACTTATGACTTTGAATTTAGTAAGGAAGATACTGTCGACATTGGTGCTTGTTTCTGTCTTAGCCATCAGCTAGCCTGTGAACCATTTCTCCTGTTTACTCCAGTCTGCAGGTTTGGAAAAAGTTGAAGAAAACTGTTTACTTCTAAAGTTAAGGTGCTGGGGCCGGGAGGTAGGACAGTGGTTAGACACAGGTTAAATTCCTGGCCCTGGAGGGCCCCCATACCACCAGGGTGATCCTGGGTATCCCTAGCACCAGAGGGCCAGAGCAATACTAGACTCCGGATCCTAGCATCAAACCACCAACCCAGTTAGCCAAATCACCGGTGGGGGCCTTCGGGCCTTCTAGCACCGCCTCCCAAGTGAGGCCCCTTAAATAAAAAAGAATAATTAATACAGTTTTAAAAGTTAAAGCACTGAGCTGAAAGTAGACTATAGACTGAACATGATGACCACTCAATACCTATATTGCAAACCACAACACCCAAAAGGAGAGAGAGAGAGAGAGCAAAAGGGGATGCCCTGCCACAGAGGCAGAGTGGGGGCGGTGGGAGAGATAGTGGGATCATTGGTGGTGGAGAATGGGCACTGGTGGAGGGACGGGTACTGCATCATTGTATGACTGAAATGTAAGCAAAAAAGTTTATAAGTCTGTAACTGTACCTCATGGTGATTCATTTAAAAATAAAAATAATAATAGCACTGTAGCACTGTCCTCCCATTGTTCATCAATTTGCTCCAGCGGGCCCAGTAACGTCTCCATTGTGAGACGTGTTACTGTGTTTGGCATATTGAATACATCACAGGTAGCTTGCCAGGCTTTGCCATGTGGGTGAGATACTTTTGGTAGCTTGCTGGGCTCTCCGAGAGGGGAGGAAGAATCAAACCCGGGTTGGCCAGGTTGGCCGCATGCAAGGCAAATGCCCTATCCGCTGTGCTATCACTCCAGCCCTAAAAATAATAATATTTTTTATTTAAAATGGTTTTTTATTTAAAATTTTTAAAATAATTTTTTATTTAAAAATAATTTTTTAAAAAAGTTAAAACTAGAAAATAAAATAAAAACAGTACTGCTTCAAAAGAAAAAATAAAGTTAAAGCACTGAGAGACAGTTTAGGTCCTGGGAAATGGGTTCAAAGGGCTGGAGAACATGCTTGGCCTGCAGGAGAGGATGGTTCAATCCCCCCCAAAGTAGGCCTGTACCCCACTAAAGGTTGAACTGCAGGATATAGCTGAAAAACCGCTGCAAAGCCCAGCTGAGGGGACTTTGTGTTGGAAACCCTAGAAGAGGCAGAATGAGAGGGTGTGGGGGGGTCTAAAGGCCAGAGGAAGGCTGTCTAAAGTCTAGCAAGGCTACAGGAAACATCAAAAGTTTGAAGTCTATCTCTGTCACTTGTTTGCTGGGTGACTTGGGTCAAGTTGCTCAACCTCTCTGGGCTTGGCTTCCTGTTCTTGTAACATGCAGATGCTTAGTGCTTGCCTCATAGGATGGTTGCTAATGCATGAAATGTGCTAATCCAAGCAATGCACTTAAAATAGTCCTTGGCACACCATAAATGTATTCTGAACTGTAATTTTGGTTCTGAACCGCAGAACCAAATCATCCCAAATGAAAATCTATATGAGGGGCTGGAGCGATAGCACAGTGGGTAGGGTGTTTGCCTTGCATGTGGCCAACCCAGGGTTCAATTCCCAGCATCCCATATGGTCCCCCAAGCACTGCCAGTATAATTCCTGAGTGCATGAGCCAGGAGTAACCCCTGCACATCGCCAGGTGTGACCCAAAAAGCAAAACAAAAATAATTATATGAAAATTAAAACAAGATGGAGCCAGAACAATAGTACAGTGGGCAGGGCATTTGTTTTGGGTGCAGCTGACCCAAGTTCCTCCCTGCCCACTGGGAGTGACCCATGAGCTCAGAGCCAGGAGTAACCCCTAAGCACGGCCAGGTATGGCCAAACACAAACAAGCAAAAAAGAAAGAAAAATCAAATGAGATGATGGGTGCAAACACCCTCAGCTCAAGCACTTTATAAAATAACTAACAGGGACCTGAGTAAGGTGTGCCTTGCATGCAGCAAATTCAGGTTCGATCTCCAGCACCCCATATGATCCCCTGAGCACCTCCAAGAGTGATTCCTGAGTGCAGACCCAGAAGTAACCCTGAGCATTGTCAGGTTTGGTACAAAAAGAAAAATAATAAATAAAATAAATAGCTATCATTACCCATAACTTCTCTGTATTGTTCCAATTTTAGTATATGTGCTGCCGAAGCACTTGGGCTGGAGCGATAGCACAGAGGATAGGGCATTTGCCTTGCACGCAGCCAACATGGCCAACCCGAGTTCGATTCCTCCGCCCCTCTCGGAGAGCCCGGCAAGCTACCGAGAGTATTTCGCCCGCACGGCAAAGCCTGGCAAGCTCCTCGTGGTGTATTCGATATGCCAAACACAGTAACAACAAAGTCTCACGATGGAGACGTTACTTGGCCCGCTCGAGCAAATCGATGAACAACGGGAGGACCGTGACCGTGACCCATAACTTGGAATTGCTGCTATTGATTTGCCGCTTGTCCGGTGGCCTTTGTTATTAAAATTGCATTTTGTTATTTTATTATTACCTTCAACTACTTCCTATTAGTAATGGTGATATCAGCAATGTACTATTTCTTTATGTTTGGGAGGCCACACCCATTGGTGCTCAGATGCCATTCCTGGCTCTGTCCTCGAGAGACCCCTGGCCCTTGGGGATCCATGGGAGGGCAGAGTTTATACTGGGGTTGAACCCTGGCAAGCACCCGACCTCCAGTACTATCTTTTCAGCCCAATATGTTCCTATTGGGTGCCCACATCTTGACCTCTGCTCCTCAGCATTCCCCAGACAGGCTTGTCCAGGCTTCGAGGCTGTGAACTGAATGGACAAGATGAGGAAGGAGTTTGGGTCCCAACTCCCCAACTCATAGGAAAAATGATAGCAGCTCTCAAATGTTTGGATGAGGGGATATGGGGATCAATGCACTAAGTGACTTTTAATAGAAAAATTAAAGTTTTTCTATTAAAATACCATTTATTAACAATAATACAGGCCATTTAGTCCCTCGAAGTATCTTTTATTAACAATAGAAACCCATTACATGTGCACACGATAGCAAGTATATTACAAACATATTTCCCCGAAAAAAAAATCTAAGAAAGGCAGTAATAGTTTACATTTTTGCAAATCTCTTTCCTTTCCAGCTTACCAGAAGACTACTAAACAACTGCCTTCAATATATTTATTTTGTATTCTTGGTTGAAGGGTGAGAAGAAAATCATCTCTGCCTGGAAAACTGGGATTGATATCCTTCTTTTAAACAATATCAGAATCTTTTTCTTAAATATTCCTTGCAATCTGAGGTCTAAATCTACATAAATGAACTTTTCATATTTGGGACCAAGCTCAGGGCCTCCTCCCGGCTCTGTGCTCAAGGATCACTCCTGAAGGTGCTCAGTGCTTGGGATTCGAACCTCAGCGGACTGCATGCAAGGCAGCACTTAGCCACAGTACTACCTCTCCTGCTCCCAGTAAATGGCTCTCAAGCCAACCAGGTAGCGGGCAAGGTGAGTGGGACCTGAATACCTGCACCCACCATCAAACAAAGCTCCCCTGGCTCCCTAGAATTTCTAAAACCCAGGACACTGTTTACCAGCTTCATTCAGCTCCCCTCCACGCCCCTACACCCCTAGTGAGAGGACAGAAGTTCCACTGGGAGCCTCCCGGGGCCTGGAGCTCAGCACTCAGCTTCTCTGTGTGTTGAAACGAGCTTGCACAGTCTTTTCTAGCACTTTACAAAGCAATTCAACCTTGTTTGAGTGCCAGAGCCCAGCCCTGGAGGAGCTCACTCACAGTCCAGTTGGAGGCGGCAGAAGGATGCCATCCAGGATGGAGCAGGGGCCGGTCACCTTCCCAGCAGGAAACCTCATTCGGCCACAGCCCCACCCTCCAGGCTGGCTCCCCAGGGTCTGTCCCACCTTCCCTGTGGCCTGACTTCTGTCCCAAGGGCCACAAGGCCACGGAGAAGCTCTCCCTGCCCTCAAAAACCTAGCACACCCCCGCACGATATATACAAGAAACACTTTATTTCCCAAAGCCGCAAACCAGTGCAGCAGGAGCGGGGGTCCTGGGAAAGCTCGGGAGAAGAGGGGCCGGGCCAGCCCAGTCCACGGGTGGGAAGGGAGGAGAGGCTGCCGAGGGCCAGGGAGGCAGGACCTAAGGGATGTTTCACACTCATAACAGGGCACCCACAGCCACGGCCAACACGAGAGCCGCCAGCTGGGAAGAGCAAGTTGCCAAGCCCTTGTTGGGGGCCCCACCTTTATCGGGGTACTGGCCAATGTTACTCCGCTCCTGGTGGCCAGCAGCCCCGCCTGCCAAGCTCGATTCTTCTTTCCGGGAGACCTCGGGCTCCACTTCCTGTGGAGGCGTCTGCCTGGTACGGGCTGGGGTGGGTTGAGACGACGAGGTGGGAGTCGGGGTGGTGGGGGCGGGGGTGGAAGTGGTGGCCGGAGTAGTGGGGGCCGGGGTGGTGGGGGCCTCCGTGGTGGCCTGAGGAGGCGGCAGCAGGACCAGAGGTGGGATGCGGGGGGAGAAGTAGGTCTTGTTGCGCAGGTCCGAGTTACAGCGGGACCCATGGCAGCAGGAGCCACTGAGCGTGAACCCTGGGCCGGTCACAGCATCCCGAGTGCAAAGCTCATCCTGGACGCAGCCCCGGACAGGTAAAGACACGGTCACATTAGCTACAGGAGGGAGACACGAACAAAGGTGAGATTGGAGGAAGCAGGGTGGGCGCAGATCAACTAAAATTCAGGGGCGAGAAACCCTAGAACAAGAAGCCCCAGAAACAAGAACCAAAGGTCTCGGTTCAGACGTCGAGAAACGTGTGTTTCAGTCCTGGGCACACGGTGAATCACATTTCCCATAATACTTTGAGAGGAGGGGGTGTGGCAACTGAACTACAAGTCCCACAATGCCTTGGAATTGGCCAGGGATAGGACACCGGTGGCTCACATCTGTGCAGGGCCTGCCTGGCTGCTAATGTTCAGTCTCAATCAGAACATGCCCGGTGGAGCACGGGGTTTAAAGAACATCCCCTCCCATGGTTCATGGAGGCAGGAGGCTGCGAACCTGAGCATCTCTACTAAAATCCTGGGACTGGTGTTTTAAGGAATCAGAACTAGATTCCCCGTGATGTTTGGGCAGACACCCACAGCACAGCCTCCACTCTGCTCCTGACAGTCCTCCAACGGAAATGCAGTACAAGAATCATTAGCACAGGGTCAGAGAGTTGGTACAGTGGGTCCAGAACTTTGCATTGCACTCGACAGACCAGGTCGGATCCCTGGCATCACTCTGATCCCTTACTGCTCAGAGCCAGGAGTAAACCCTGAGCATCTCTGGCTTGCCACCCCCATCATGAAAGGAAGAAAGAAAGAATGAAAGAAAGGAGAAAGGAAGGAAGGAAGGAAGGAAGGGAGAGAGAAAGAGAGAAAGAAAGAGAAAATAAAATGCAAATAAAAGATGCAAAAATAAGCATCTCTATCCTCGTAGAGTACTTGAGCATAGTTGTGCTTTTATCATGATGCCAAGAACCTAGTTCTTGCTGCTTCCAGAATCTGCTGAAGGTGGGAAAACCTTGAAGGTAAAGAACCACCTGCCGATCATAAGGTCTCAAAAAAGCTACCTCAACCGCAAGAGGTCGAGGGCGCTCAGGCCTGCTCACCTGCCGTCAGAGTGACGTTGCCATCAAAACAGCCCTTGTAGACACGGTCGCTGGCGTTGTAGCAACTCACGACAGGAGGCGCAGTACCCTTGCATGCCTCCCGGCTCAGTCCCACGCAGCTGTAGCACTCGGTACCATTGGGGTGAGGAGCACTCTCATTGCCTGCACGGGGAAGAAAGGGGTGAGAGGGCTTTGGACGCCATAATACAGAAAGAAGTCCAGCCTCCACCTTGGTGGGCCTGTAGACAAACCTGCCCCCGCGCAGAACCTACCAACCTGAACCAACAAGAAGCCCCGCCCATAGAGGCCCCGCCCACAGAGGCCCCGCCCCCTCTGCTACCTAACGTGAACACTGTCAATGGTCCTGCGTAACTCCGCCCCTCGCCCTAGGCCCCGCCCCCACCGACCTGCCGGTGTGAGCGCCCGAGAGGTGAGGTTGAGCTTGGTGTTGCAGCGGTCCTGGGTGCATTGCTGCAGCTGGATGAAGGCCAGAATCCCGTGGAGGTCCAGTCCGCGGTCATTCTTGCCAGGAAGTCCTGAGCCGCAGCCCCGCACTGCCACCGAAAATTGCCCATGGACTGCGGAGAGGGAGGGGATCCGGTCAGAGAAAGCCTCAAATTGATCCCTAATGGACTTGGACTGTTGGAGGACAGACTCCCTGGGCCCTGGGCTTCACCGCGGGCCTTCCAGGAGAAAACGTGACAGGCCGAGGGGCGGAGCCTCCAGTAGCTGGTTCCGAAGGTACTGACCGGCGGATGGACTGGACAGTGGAAAGGGCTGAACTGAGTTAGAAGGACGGTCAGAGGGATTTAAGACGGGAGAGCATCATCAATGGGAACTGAGACCCATCAAAAAGAATTTTGGGGGCCGGAGCAATAGTCCAGCGGAAAGGGCTATATCTGGGTTCAGTCCCTGGCACCCCATATGGTTCCCCAAGCACCTCTAGGAGTGATTCCTGGATGCAGAGCCAGGAGGCACAGCTAAGCACAGTTGGATGTGGCTCAAAAACAAAACAAAACAAAACAAAAAGACACAGAATACATGAGGATGGTGCCTTCTAGGACCTCTGCCCTCAGGGGTGAGATTCCACTGAGGGTGGTTAGAAGGGTCTGACCCCAGGCTGGAGGAGCCCATGGGGGCACTTCCTCACTAGGGCCCCTTTGTAAGGGGCAGAGAGGTTTCCAACGGGGACTGAGGGACAGGATGGGAATGTGGCCAGAGGCCTCAGTGATGGACAGAGATAGCAGCTCAAAGGGCTGGATCCCATGTTTGCCTGTGGGAGACTCGGGTTCAATCCCCAAACACCACATGATCCCCTAAGCACCTCGGGTTCAATCCCTAAACACCACATGATCCCCTAAGCACCTCGGGTTGTGGTTTTTAAAAAAAAAAGTAAATGGGGTTGGAAAGATATCTCAAGGAGCCAAGCACATGCTTTACATCCCCAGAGCCATCGCCAGGTGTGGCACACACACACACACACACACACACACACACACACAAAATGACAAAGGGGTGACCAAGTTCCAGATCGGGGCGCACCCACTTTACAGCAACCATTTTCTGATTCTCACCCCTCACTCTTCTAAGTCAAAATGGAGCGCTTAAAGGACCCACTGCAGGTGGAAAGGGTGTGCGGAGGTAAGTAGGGAGAGAGGGTTGGGAGCCTGAGAGGGAACCACCCAGGGGCCCCACTTACTCGTCTCCACGGCCCCCACAGCCTCCGTGCAGACGTCCACACCGGGCGCACACTTCACCACCTTCATCCTGTGCCGTGCGCAGCCGTCATCTGCCTTCTGCACGCAGCTGTAGCACTCCAGGGCCTGTGCTCCTGGGGGCGCAGGAAGGCGGGCGCTGAGCCACCCCCACCCAGACAGCTGTCCCAGCAGCACTGCAGGCCTCCCCAGGAGACAGCTTTATCCACCGCAGGAGCAGGAATCCCGCCCCCAACCTGGAGCCTGGGCATAGACCCCCTATGGTGTGGGACCATCCTGAGGCTCCTCTATGCCCAGGTAGGGGGGCCCTGCCATAAATAGTGGGGGACACCTCACAGTACTCTTTCCAGACTGTGGTCACCCTTCCCACAGCCCTTCTTCTCAGACTGGGAGTCCCTTCCCACAGCCCTTCTTTTCAGAACTAAGGGTCCCTTTCCACAGCCCCTCTGTCCAGGTTGAGGGGCCCCTTCCCAAAGCCCCTCTGTCCAGTCTGAGTCCCCCTGTTCAGGCTGAGGGGACCCTTCTCACAGCCCCTCTGTCTAGTCTTAGGGGACACTTCCCACAGCCCCTCTGTCTAGTCTTAGGAGGCCCTTCTCACAGCCCTTCTGCCTAGTCTGGGGGTTCTGTCCCACAGCCCCTCTGTCCTGCCTGGGGAGACCCTTCCCACAGCCCTCCTGTCTAGTCTGGGGGACCCTCCCCATAAACTTTCTGCCCCGACTGGGGGCCCTTCCGATAGCCCCCTTTTAAGAGGAAGCAGAGGGCCTCCGCCCAGAGCTCCCAGACCCACCTTCTCGAAGCAGCAGCCACAGCAGGATCAGCCGCCAGCCCAGCCTCCATGTCCCCTCTGGGGCACCCGCTGTCCTGGCGGAGTCCATAGCTCCGACCTGCTCGCTTGGTGTCCCCCTGGGAGTGCCGCCGCCTGGCCCGGGCCTTCTTACTTAGCCCAGGATGAGTAACCTCCCCCCGGGCGACCCTGGCCTTGCCCAACCAGGTCAAATCAGCGTCCGCTGCGGGGCGGGCCACCCGCCCCTGGGTGCGTCACCGCAGCTGCCAAGGAGGGAGAGGGCGGGAGGCCAGGATCCCCAACATTTCCCAGGGGAAAGTCTACGTGTTTGGGGGACGGGGTGGGGAGGATTTCTTGAGTTCCTCCCGAGAGCCAGCTGTGCCCCGACGTGCAGAGCTCAGTCTGTCGGGGGAGATGGAGGAGAAGCAGCCTCGGGGTCTCCAGCAGGACAGTGGAGGAAGCCGGGTAGGGAGCTCCAAGGAGGGGTGGGTGCGGGCCATGGGGGAGAGCTGAGTCAGTTCTGAGAGAAGGGGTGAACTTGGGAAAGCTGCGGGGCGGGCACCTCAGGTTGGCTCTGGAACATGATTGATCTGGGAAAGAAAGCACTTCTCCGTGGAAAGGGAAGGAAATACAAGTGATTCAGGGCTGGGGAGATGGTCCAACAGGCTGAGCATGTGCTCAGCGCGCAGGAGTCCTGGGTTCTGTCCCCAGCACCGCACGGTCCCCTCCTCCCTTGGGCACTGCCAGGTGTGGCCCCAAAACAGTAACAACCAATATTTCAGAGGTTCAGCAATCCCTGGGGGATATTAGACCAACTGTGACAAAAAGGTGAGGGAAGACAGGGGCCACTCTCGAAAACCTCGTGTTTGGCTAAATGAGCTTCAGCGACACAATGCACAGTGGGACGCCTCGGGCGTGAACCAGAAACACACAAAACTCACCTGAAGTGATGGAAATCAGAACAGAGGCATGATGCTGCCCCAAAGGACAAGAAAGAGGTGCCCTGTGCTCTTTATTGGGGTGGTGGCTTCTTGTCTGTACAAATCTATAAAGAACCATACTTCAGGGCCAGAGAGATAGCACAGCGGCTGGAGCGTTTGCCATGCACGTGACTGACCTGGGTTCCAGCCCTGGCATTTCATATGGCCCCCCAAGACTGCCAAGAGTGATTCCTGAGCACAGAACCAGGAATAAGCCCTCAATACCAGGCCACACCTGATGGTACTGATAGATAGCCCTAATAAAATAAATAAGCATGTTTCAGCACTCCATATTTTTGGAGTCCCCCATACCTCTCTACACCATGACGTATCTTCTCTATTCCTTTATTTCATTTTGCTTTTGCTTTTCATTTTCATTTTTCATCACACCCAGTGATGTTTAGGGGTTACTCCTGGCGGTGCTTGGGGGACCATATGGGATGCTTGGGATCGAACTGGGTTGGCTGTGTGCTGGGCAAACGCCCTATCCGCTGTACTATCATTCCGGCCCCTCTTCTCTATTCTTTAGGTGCATTATATGAGGGGATTGTCAGCTTCCCAACTTCTTAGAATGTACAGGACATAACCTTTTAGTTTACAGGAACCTCTCTCTCTCTCTCTCTCTCTCTCTCTCTCTCTCTCTCTCTCTCTCTCTGTATTTTCAAAATAAAATTATCTTGCTTTTGTTTGTTTCTTTGTTTTGGGCCACACACCTGGTGGTGCTCAGGGCTTCCTTCTGGCTCAGGGATCACTCAGGGATCAGTTGTGGCTGGGACTGGGTGCCCCTATGTGGTGCCAAGGATTGGCTGTGTTCAAGGCAACAGCCCTCCCTGCTGTGCTCTCTCTCTCTGGCCCCAGTTATTTTGTTTTAGCTTTAAAAAAAAAAAAAAGGAAAAACAACCACAACACTGAACAGTTGCTGAGTGTGGGTCCTTGATTGCCAGAGGGGAGCTGGCTGGGCTGTCACAGAGAGGTAGACACTGTTACATACAATCAGGACCACAACAATGGTGTGGGGCCTCATTAAGACCCCTGCATACACATGTCTTTCACAGAAACAACAGGAGCCGAAGAAAACCACAAAATGACTAAGCTCCCCTGTATCCTGGCTCATATAAAGGCCCGCTTTAATATTCTTTAATATAGGCTAGATTAATTATATTACACTGTTATGCCTAAGAGAGGAGAGGTTTAATTGACAGCTTTCATCTGCCTTTATTTCTCGTGGCTCAGAGATAAGATTCATCTATGGCAGGAAAATAACGGCTTGAGTTCATCAGATTATATCTCTTCCCCAGACCCCGTTGGACACCCCCATAGCCGACGACGACGATGACGGGCATGCCCATCACCTAGGTGGGGTTACTCGTCATCATGCTGATGTTCAGGGAGAGAAAGTGAGTGACTATTTATGAGATCACTCAGCCCTGGCCTCCCTCCTCCCAGCTTCAGAATCACAGCCCCACTTGCTGTGTGACCCTGGGCATGTATCTTCACCTCTCTGGTGAAGCAGCTATTATATGAAAGGTGTGTCTGTCTGTCTCAGGGCAGAGGGAGGTCGTGGCACAGGACTGAAATTGTGATCCTGTTTCTGCCATCCTCTCGCGAGGATGCCATCTCTGGCCTCTTAGTCTCCCTCTGGACAGGCTGCAACTTCCTGGGCCGAAAGGATCTGAAACCGTCCATCTCCTGAGGGATGCGGGGAGGCTCTGGGCGCACAGGCCCAGGGATGATGCTATTATTATTGTGTGTTCGGGAGCAGGAGGCCCCTCTGGCCCCAGCTGCGTGGGAGAGTTTCAGGGAGGCACCCCAACTGGCTCAACAGGAAGAACTAGCGTCTTGGGAGGGAGTAGAACCAGGTGGGGCGCCTCCACCTGCTTGGGCCTGCCCAGATTCTGGGGGCTGACCCCTGCCTGGCCCGGGACCAGAGGAAGGTCTGATGCAGGCCTCTGCTTCCACCCTCTTGCAGTTCTTCCCGCCTCCTCCCTGTGTGGATCGTGAAGCCGGTTCCCCCAGAGAGAGAAACAGAGAGGTCAGTGTGGAGCTTCAGCCAGAGGTCACGCTGGGGCCGTCATCTTCACTGTGGGGTTCCCACCCCTGGGCAGGCTCTGAGGCCAGGAAGGTCCCCCGCCTGTCTCAGGTCCACTGCCTCCCAAAAGTTCTCACGGAGATGTGTCAGGGGGTGAGGTGGGAGCAGGGGCAGTCATGGAATGTGTGGGGATCAGTGCAAAATTAAAATATGGGGAGCTTCAAGGCACTTGCCTTGCATTCAGATGATCCAGGTTCAAATCCCTGGCATGAGAGATGGTACAGCAGGGAGGGCACTTGCCTTGCGTGCAGCCTAACTAGGTTTGATTCCCCAACATCCGACACGGTCCCTTTGCATCGCCAGGAGTGATTCCTGAGTGCAGAGCCAGAAGTAGGTAGTCCCTGAGCAACGCCACATGTGTCTCCCACCCCCCTCCCAAAAAAAAGGCTCCAAAAAAACAAATCCACAGCGACCACTGATCCCTGCCAGGAGTGATTCCTGAGCACTGCCAGGTGGAGCCCAAACTGCACAGACATCCCTGCCCCTGTCAACTAAAGCAACCTAACTGTGGGGCTCCCTTCCACAAGCCCACTACACACCTCTGCCCAGGATGCCAAGAGGCATGGTGCCTGACCCAGATCTTCTGTGTGACCCCCTGTCCTACCAAGCTGGAGGGGGCCAGACCAGGCCAGGGAGGGGCAGACAGATTTTGACCTGTTGGGTGGCAGAAGTGCAAACTTGCTAGGCTCCCCCACAGCACATGCTCCCTGTCCCTTCCCTTCAAAATAGACTCCAGGACAAAATGAAGCATTCCATGTGGTTCCCAGAGGCACCACACAGTGCATTTTTGGATGAGGAATCTCAATTACACTTGTCAATTACACTGGTCATGTGACTGGAAGCTAGCCAGGCCAAAGGATTCAGTTTGCAGAGGGTCTGGAAATGAACTGATCTAAGAATCCAGGGGTCTAGGGACCAGAGAGATAGTGCGGGAATTAAGGCACCTGCCTTGCATGTGGTGACCCTGGACCATGGTTTGAGCCCCCAGCATCACAGATGGTCCCCTAACACTGCCAGGAGCAATCCCTGAGCTTTGGGCCAGGAGTAAATCCTGAGCACCATGGGCTGTAGCCCCAAAACGAAAGAATCCTGAGGTCTTGCACCTAGAGGTAAAGTCAAGGGGACGCTTGGGGTTCCCAGGCCCTGGAGGTTGTATTCCCAGCACCCTAGCCGAACCCTAAGATAAAGGAACTCTTGGACATTTAGGTTCTGAGATGGGACTTAGAGGGACTAAACACCCAGCTCCAGAGTTGTGGGAAGGAAGATGGCATCTGTCTCCATATAGTGACTGCCAAGTGGGCAGGGCCTCTGGGGGACAGCCAGGGGCCACAGGGAGTTGCCCAGAGGGGATGCTGGGGCTGTACCTCACAGAACAATCCCTGAGTCCCCTCTGACTCCATCACCACAGTCGCCACCCCGCAGCACCACTTTCTGTTACTGACATTCCTTAAACACCTGGTCCCCACGGTTTTGCTATACGCCAAGGACTCAGCAGAGATGGCACTGTCCCCACCCCCTGGACTTTACATCCCGCACTGGAGATAGTCAGCAGTGAGACTGACGCAAAGCATCAAGGTGGGGATGCAGGTGACCCGGGGGCTACCAATCTACCAGCCTGCAGGAAGGAACAGAGTGGTTGGGAGGCACTGTGGAAAAATCAGCCTCTGCTAGAAATCAGGGAGGGCTTCTTGGAGAAGGAAGTGTCTGTGCTATGACCTAAATGCTGAGTAGGAGTTTGGTGGAATGGGGAAAGGCACCTTAGCAAAGGGAACAGTATGTACAAAGATCAAGGGAAGGAAAGATTTCTCTCCCCACTCCAACTTTCTCGGAGTGAAAAGCAGTCTTTGGTGGCCAGTCCAGTTCTGGCTCTGCCCACAGGAAGCTCCCAGTCCATCATGGCACAGTCGTCGCCAGCAGTGACACAGAAAGTTGCAGAGATTGAAAAGAGATGCTCCACAAGGGGTGCCCAGGGCAAGAGAGAGTACAGGGGCAAAAGGCTAATTCAAGTTAGGTACCGTACATGGGGTGTCTGGGCACTTCCAGACAATCCCTGAGCAGAGAACAAGGATTAGCCCCTGCGCACCTCTGGGAACTGAATGTTCAACAGCAGCGGGCAGTTGGGGGTCCTGCAAGAGGGGCCATCCCAACTGAGATCTGAAGACTTGGTGGGGGGCAGGGGGGAGCGCAGCTGGTGAAGGCAGGGCAGAGGAAACACCGAACACCAAGGCCTGGAGGACGAAGCGTTGTGCCAGGAGCCCAGCTGCGTCGAAAAGGGTCCTGTTCGGGTGCTGGAGCGATAGCACAGCGGGTAGGGCATTTGCCTTGCAAGCGGTCGCATGTGGCCAACCCGGGTTCAATTCCCAGAATCCCATATGGTCTTCTGAGCACCACCAGGAGTAATTCCCGAGTGCAGAGCCAGGAGTAACCCCTGAGCATCGCCTGGTGTGACCCAAAAACAAAACAAAACAAAAAACAAACAAAAAAAAGGGTCCTGTTAGCCCACAGACCAAAAGAGGGCAAAAACCTCATAGGCCAAAGCCACAACCTCTCTCCCTGCCCTCTCCCAACCAGGCCCTTAGGGTTGAAGGCCCCATTCCTAAGGAGAGTAGAACCAGCTGGGGAAGCTTGGCTCACACGAGCACCCAGAACTCCGGAGGCCCCGGGGACGCCGATGCGGGAAACCACAGCAGCAACCACTGTTTTCCCTCCCAGGTTTAATTCGGTATCACAGGAGTACCAATAAATAGTTTCTTCCCGTACCCACCACCCCCCTCCTTCCCACCGGACACGGCCCCAGGGCTGGCTTCCCATGGCGAGAAGGCTCCCGCAGCCCAGCAGTGCAGTTCCAAGCTGCTCAAACCAGCCGAGCAGAACCCCGGGGGTGGGGGGTGGGAGGTGGACGGGTCGGGTAGCAGAGGTGAAGCAGGAAGAGTCCCAAGGGGACGGGGCCTCATCTGTGGGGGCGGGGCCTTCCAGGGCGTAGTTCTCAGTCCCTGCAGTCCGGGACAGGGCAGTGGCCTCACACGTGGGGTGGGCTCGCCCCGCCCACGGGGGGGGGGGGGCGCCTCAGGGGGCGTGGTTCTCATCCGCAGCTGTCACGATGACGTCCATCCAGATACGCATGGCCTCCGGGCTCGGGGCCACCATGTAGAAAAGCCTTTCGTAGGTTTTGACGCAGAAGGTCAGGCGTGGGTTGGGGCTCTGGAATCAGAAGCTGAGGGTTAGAAACAAGACAAGGGCGCCCCCTGAATCTGAATCCCAGCCTTGCCTTTTGCAGGCTGTGTGGCACAAGGCAAGTTACTTGGGCTCTCTGAATCTGTTTTCCCATCTTCCTTAGCGGCTCCCTAGCTCCCTTCGTTGGGTGATGAGGATTCCACGACACAACAGGGGAAGGGGCTTAGAATTCTGGGAGTCACCGGATTCAGAAGTCCCCTAGCCCCTGCCCCCAGCCTACCTTCTATATTTGGAAGATAGACATTCAAATGTCCCCTCCCTCAACTCCGGATCAGCCCACCAATACGCGATTTGTAACTGGAGAAAGCTGGTGTCTATAATCTTTTTCTGAGTACCCACATGCCAACCCCAAATTAAGTAAACCAAATTAATCCATGGTTTTTAATCTCCGTTTGGAGAAAATGAGTTAAAGCCCACCCATTCTGTAGATAAGAAAACCAAGGCTAGAACCAGGAAGGCATGAAAAATCCACAGCCGGCTGTTTTCCACAGAGCTTTCCAAACACTGTAGCAGAGAGCAATATTAATTTCTTCGGTGCTGAACCTGTCTGCAGTTTCCAGTTCCTGGGGTAGGGGAACTTGATCAGTAGGCTAAGTGCATGCACGCTTTGCAGAAGGCCAGAGTTCAATTCCCAGTGCCACAGGGGCCCCAAGCACTGCTGGTAGTGAGCTCCAAACATGTTCTGGGAGTGGATTCGGATCACTGCCAGCTGTGTCCCCAGACCCAAAATGATAATAATTTTTTCAAGTTCCAGTTCCCGAGAACTCCAGGGAAAATAATTATGTAATGACACAATGGGACCGATTCCATCTGGCAACTAGTAGCAGAGAACCAACTATCTCCTTCTGTTGCTCCCTGGGTCTCCTACCTCACCCTGCCCTTGGCACGCATCATTCCCAATTTGGCATCAGACCTGGCCCGAGTTTCCTCTAAAGCTTTTGCTCCAGGAAAAGTAAAAGTGGGCACGGGCCAGGACCATACTCTTCATTTTTGGTCCTCGTAATGAAATGACCTTTCGGATCTTTCAGTGCTGACAGGAAATGGGATGGGGAGGCTGTAAGTGACCTTACTTGACACAAACTATGGTCAGGGGTCTCCAGGAAGGCAGGGTGGCACAAAGCAGGGGACCTCACCTTGAAGGCACAGCGTAAGTGATCGTAATAGACTTCCTCGATGGCCTGGAAGTAGATGACGCCTTTGAGCTTGGTCTCTTCCTTGTCTGAGGGAGGGAAATGAAGAATCAGAGCAGGGAGGGTGTGTGTGTGTGTGTGTGTGTGTGTGTGTGTGTGTGTGTATGAATCAGAGCAGGGAGGGTGTGTGTGCATATGATAGAATCAGGGCAGGGAGGGTGTGTGTGTGTGTGTGTGTGTGTGTGTGTGAATCAGAGCAGGGAGGGTGTGTGTGCATATGATAGAATCAGGGCAGAGAGGGTTTGTATGGATATATGCACATACATGCAAGTGTGCACACATGCTCCCTGGCGCCAAGTGCCCAGACTTGGTGGGGTAAAGAATGTGGGGACCAATCTGAACATCCCTGAGCACCATGGCTAGGAGGTGGCAGTTGCAGACTCTGCCTGGTTGACAGACTGAGATGGGGCCTGGGAGTGCAACTCTGAGCTCCGGAGGGCCTTGGCCTCTGAGAAGGGAGAAACCCAGCATTGTTTCAGGGGATGGATGAGAGCCTAGATTCTGGGTGTTGGGGGAGAGAGGTGAGGGCTCTGCCAATGCAGATTCAAACACCTCCTGAGTATGCTAGGAAAATGGGTCTGTGGGGGCGGATTGTCCATTAACTGTTATCTATGCCCCGGTTTCTTAAAACTCATGTGGTGTTGTGTTAAAAAAAAATTGGGGGGAGGGCCAGAGCAAGAGTACAACTGCTAGGGTGCTTGCCTTCCATGCAGGCAACACCAGGTTCAATCCCCAGCATCCCTATGATCCCCTGAGGCAGGCAGGAGTGATCTGTCAATGCAGAGACGGGAGTAAGCCCTGAGCATCACCAGGTGTGGCCCAAAAACAACAACAACAAAAATTTTTTTTTTGTTTAAAATAATTTTCTTTATGATTCATGATAAATTAAAAAAGGGGGAAAAGAGGCTTTGTAGATCTATTTTATTCATCTCTCTAACCAGGTCTGGAGCAATAGCACAGCGGTAGGGCATTTGTCTTGTGAGCAGCCGGCAAGTTACTGAGAGTATCTCACCCGCACGGCAAAGCCTGGCAACCTACCCATGACCCCATTTCACAGATCAGCAGAAGCACAGAGGCATATTCCATATGCCAAACACAGTAACAAGTCTCATAATGGAGATGTTACTGGGCCCGCTCAAGAAAATCAATGAACAACGGGAGGACAGTGCTACAGTGCTATCCAGGTCACATAAAAATGTCTCCTGAAAAAAAGGGGTGGAAAGATTCGTGAAACCCTGTTCTCTACTCCTGAATAGGGGGAAGGGGCTAGGAGTCTCTGATCCTGGGGAAAGCAAGAGTGCGGGAAGCCCAGACTCCTGGGCTGTGGGGAAAGAAGGCACTCAGGGACCAAACATGAGTCTGGGGGGAAGAATGGGGCGCATGGAGTGGGAACCAATTCTCCAGAGGCCTGAGGGAGACCCTGGACCTAAGAGAGAAGGAGCTAGAGCTGGGGGTGGGCCTCCTGGGGTGAAGTTTCTGGGGCTTGGGGGGGCTCCTAGGGGTGGTGGGGACCTCCCCAGTGCCTCACCTGCATAGTAGGCCAGGCGGCGAGCCTGGCGATCAAAACAGAACCAGCGCTTCCTCCAGGTCTTGATGCGCCCTCCCATCTTCACCATGGGCCCCCGGCAGCAGCACCCTGATACTCGGAGGTGCGGGCAGCTTTCTGGGTTGTGACCCCATCGCTCCAGATGCAGCCGCAGGTCCAGGACGCGAGGGCCAGGGGGGCGGGGTGGGGGCGAGGGAGGGGCCTGTGGAGAGGAAAGAAGGATCAGTGGGGGAGTCCCAGGGCTGCTGTGGCCTTTAATGACATTATAGGACCCCCATACACACACACACACACACATACACACGCACAGACACAAACACACAAAAAAACAGTGTCCCCACAAAACTCCGCCATTGACCCCCATTTCACAGATCAGCAGAGGCACAGAGAGAACCTGACCCTCTGGAGGTCACTCAGCCTCCAGGTGGCAGAGCTGGGAGGCAAATCCAAAATCTTCTGGACCCAAGAGCTCACCCTGAGCCCTGGGGCAGGTCAAAGAGCACTGGGTCAAGGTCCCCAACGTGGGCTCCTGAGACGGCCCCCTTAATCGGCCTGCCCCCTGCTTTTCTACTCTTAGGGCTTCGTGACCCACGCTGCAGGACTATCATTCCCACCCCATCCACCACTTTCGGGCCATGCACAGCCCGAGGACCAGGTTAACAGTGAGCCTATCTGACTTAAATTCCTTGGAGGTGGTCCTCTCACTGGCAATCAGGGTCAGGCTACTGACACCCTAGAGTTCCCTGGTCACTGACCCATCCCATCTCCCTTCCAGACAATTAAGGGGTTTAAGGCATTTGCCTGGCACGTGGCTGACCTCCATTTGTTCCCTGGTACCACATATGGTTCCCTGAACACCTCCAGGGTATTCACAATCCTGAGCACAGAGCCAGGAGCCAGGCCTTGAGCACCGTCAGGTGAGGCACCTGAAACCAAAACTCAAAACAAAATTCCTCCTTAGCAGGTGCAAATTCACAAATCACGTCAAGGCTCAGGGTGATACACTTGAGGCTTTTGCCTGTAAGTGAAGCCCTGGGTCCACTATGACTGGAAGTGCCTGAGGTGGGGTCTGTGTGGGCCGCACTGGCATCCCGAGAGCTGAGAGATGGAAGCCAGAGCATACAGGGAAGAGAAGCTGGAAGATGTGGTGTCGAGAGGCCAGAGGCAGGGGAGAAGGGGGTGAGGAGATGGGGGAATGCAGAGAGAGATGAGGCGTGTGTGACAGGGCTCTGGGTGAGATGGAGAGCAGGCTTAGTATGTAGAAGGCCCAGGTTCAAATCCCAGAACCACATGGTCCTGAGTACTGCTGGGAATGATTCCTGAACACCATTGGATGTGGCCCAGAAATTAAGACAAATAAAGTAATAAATAAAAGAGACCAGACCCAGGGCAGCTCGCCAAACCCAGCCCGTAACACTAAGAATCACCACCACGGATGGCAGGAATGACAGCACAGCGGGGAGGGGTACCTGCCATACATACAGTCAACCCAGGTTTGATACCCCGCATCCCATATGGTCCCTTGAGAACCTCTAAGAGTGATCCGTGAGCACAGAGCCAGGAGTGAGCTGAGCATCACCACGTGTGACCCCCAGACAAACACAAATCCACCACCATAGGTGGAAGGAGCCAGAAGCCCTCAGCAGATGCTGAGAACACGTTGAGGACCTGGTGGACCAGCCCTCACACACGGGGGAACAGAGCCAGCTTTGGGACACTAGTCTCCACCTCTCCCCACTGGGTGCCGAACCCGGGGGTCGGCACAACAGCTCCTCATGGGTCGGCTCCAAGGCAGTGCCGGCCACGGCCATGATTCCCCAGCCTGATCCCCATCCCGGAGGTGCTCAGCGGGGGCTGGGCAATGCCTGCAATGGAGACTGTTGAATAAATGATGACGCCGCCAGGCAGGGGGCACTCCATTTTTAATGAGGCTGAGCATGAGGCTGGCAAGCTGGGGCAGGTTCCATGGCCCCTCAGGGCTCTGCCCTCCTTGCCAGGTGCTGACCTGATTATGCGGTTGCCTCTGGGCCATCTCCCTGCCCAATGCCAGTGTCCCTGAGGCCAGGGATTGTCACTTTGTTCACTGCTGTCACCCACAGCCTCCCACATAACAGATGCACTAGATATACACTGGCTGAATGGATAAAGAGGGCCGGGGAGATGGTGCAAAGGGAGAAGGGTTGGCTTCACACACAGGAGCCCCGAGTTTGCTCCCCGGGAATGAATTTAGACCCCTGAGCATTGCTGGGATGACCCCTGACCACAGACCCAAGAGCAACCCCTCGGCACCACTGGGTGTGGCCCCGAAGTCAACCTAATCAAAGGAGAAGGGTTTGGGTTCAGCAGCAAAGCACATGCTTGGAATGTGTGAAGCTTGGGGTGTGAGCCCCAGATCCCTCCAGAGAAAACCCACTTACTGGTTAGATTTACGGGGTGAGGTATGAGGGGCTGCCGGGAGGGCATTCACTATTCCACTGCAGGGCGGAAGGGGTGAGGGACGGAGAATGGATAATCAGTCCCAAATCAAGCAGAGTCAGTCCCAAACACCTCTCTCCCTCCCCTTCCTATGTCTCTCTTACTCTCTCTCTCCCTCTGCCTGTCTCTCCCTCTCTCCCTCCATCTCTCTTCTCTCTCCCTCCCTTCTCTCTCTCTCCCTCTACTTCCCTCCCTCCCTCTCCCCTCCCCCCCTCTTCTGAAATTCTTTTCTGTGAGGGAAAGGCGAGAACCCAAGAGGCCTGGGGAAGGTCTAGGGCTGGCTTTCCTTTCCTGCAAGGAGCAAGTGCAGAGCCAGGAGTAGCCCTGAGCACAGCCAGGTGTGATCCCAAAACAACAAAAAGGCCGAGCAAGTAGTTGCCTTTATTCAGCAGGTAATGGGATACCCATGACAGAATGGGAAACTGAGGCACAGGGAATGGGGCGTGACTTCCCAGCAGACATATCCAGGGGAGAGGAGCATGATGGGAACATGCAGGAGGTGGCGGAGCTCAGGACAGCTGGAGGAGGAAGGGGTGAGGGCAGAGAAGCAGAGGCCACAGAGAGCAGAGACAGCCACGAGTTGTGAGGTGAGACTCACCATGATGGCAGGAACGGTGGGGCCTGAGGAACCTTCCAGACTCCTCCTTGTTCCTTCCTGTGATATCAGGATGAGGAGTTCAGTGCGTGTGGGTTGGGGGGACTAACCAGAGCCTGGGTCTGAGGGAGGCTGGGGGATGGAATCCTGGTTTGAGGGAGGGGCTGGGAATAGACTCCTGCTCTGAGAGAGGAGGGCTGGGGATGGGCTCCTGGCGTGAGGGTGGGGGGTGGGGGATGGGCCCCTGGTCTGAGGGTGGAGGGCGCTGATGGACTCCTGGTGTAAGGGTGGGGGGCAAAGGAATGGGCTCCTGGTCTGAGGGTGGAGGGCTGGGGATGGGCTCTGGTGTGAGTGTTGGGGGTTGGGGATGGGCTCCTGGTCTAGGGTGGAGGCTGGGGATGGGCTCCTGGTTCAAGGGTGGAGTGGGGGCGGGGGGGGGGGTGGGGGGGGGCTCTGGTCTGAGGCTGGAGGCTGGGGATGGGCTCCTGGTTCGAGGGTGGAGGGCAGGGGGGCAGGGGCCCTCTGGTCTGAGGGTGGAGGGCTGGGGATGGGCTCTGGTGTGAGGGTGGGGGGCTGGGGATGGGCTCCTGGTCTGAGGGTGGAGGGTTGGGCACGGGCTGCTGGTCTGGGCCGTGCCCTAGAGCCTCACCCTGGCCTTGAGCAGCCGTTCCCTCTCCTCCATGGCCTGTTGCAAGAGCCGCTCCATGCGGGCGATATCGGGGTGGAGGACCCCACAGCTGGAGAGAAGAAGAGACGGGCAGTTGACACTGGTCCCATATCTTCCCGGCCCCCTCACTTTCTCCCCGATGCCTCACCTGTTCCTGGGGTCACAGTTCATCAGCTGATAGAAGGGGTGCCTCCCTGCGTCGCCGGCCACAGGTGGCAGAGCGGCGGCCTCCAGGGGTCCTGGGAGAGAGGGAGGGGCTAGGGGGACCAGCTGTCGCCGTCGACCCCAAGGCACCAGCCTCCCGCATCCCACGCTGCTGGAAAGGGTGGGGCGTGGGAGGAACGGGGAGGGGGGTCCTCACCAGTACAGTGGAGGGACAACGGTCGGGGGGCTCCTCTCTGGCTCATCCTCTCGCCCCTCTTCCGCGGCAAGCTTCCGGTCCTCTGGAGACCAATGGAACCCTGGAAGCGCACGGGGGAAGGAGCGTGAGGGCGTGACGGCAACCGGAAGTCGGGCACCGGAAGTTCGAGATCGCAGGAGCCGGAGGTCCCAGGACCCACAGGGTCAGACACGCCGGCACTGAGGCTGCCGGGGAAAGGGGGTTCGCCACACCCCCCACGTGCACACACCACCCCTGCGGGCGGGCAAGTCTGCGTAGCCCCGGGGGGTGGGGGGGCTCCCAGGGGCCGGGGATGCGGGGAGACAGGAGGGGGGCGACTACTAAGCAGGTTGACAGTCTTTGGGGGCAATCAGCATGCTCTGCAACTCCTCGTGGTGGGGGCCTGCAGCGCCCCCTCGACGCTTGGACCATCTGGTGTGTGAATTGTTCATCAATAAAACTGTTCCGGGGGCCCGAGCGATAGTACAGCAGATGAGGTGCCTGCCTTGCACACGCCCCACCCAGGTTCCGATCCTTGGCATCCCATAAGTTCCCCCCCAAGCACCACCAGGAGTAATTCCTAAGTGCAGAGGCCAGAGTGACCCCTGAGCATAGACCGGGGACCCCTCCAATTAAAAAACAAAAAACTGGGGCTGGAGCAATAGCACAGCCGGTAGGGCGTTTGCCTTGCATAGACCTGAGGATAGACCGGGGACCCCTCCAATTAAAAAACAAAAAACTGGGGCTGGAGCAATAGCACAGCCAGTAGGGCGTTTGCCTTGCACGCGGCCCACCCAGGTTCAATTCTCAGCATCCCATATGGTCCTCAGAGCACAGCCAGGAGTGATTCCTGAGTGCATGAACCAGGAGTAACTCCTGTGCATCGCCGGGTGTGACTCAAAAAAGCAAAAAATTAATTAATTAATTAATTAATTAAAAAAAAAACTGGGCGGGGGTGGAGGAGGAAGGTTACAAAGGGAAGCAACTTGAAGGAGGCTGATTGGATGCGATACTTTATCCAAATGACAAGTGCATGAAGGAGCCCCATGGGCTAGCTGCAGAGACAGGGCAGCGGGGAAGGCATTTGCCTTGCACACAAACGACCTGGGTATGGTCTCCAGCATCCCACAGATTCCTCTGAGCACCACCAGGAGTGATCCCTGACACTGAGCCAGGAGTAAGTCTTAAAGCACTTATGGGTATGGCCCCAGTATTTGTAAACAAACAGACCAACCTTTGAACCCCAATCCCATGCCCAGGGTGGCCTCCTTTGGCCTCACTAGTGTGCAGAATAACCAAGGTTCCAGAACAATTCCCTGCCAAAACATGGAGGCCACCTCAGAGGTTCCCTCACACCATAAGAAGGGGTAAGAAATAAATCTGGGATCCAGCACCCACTAAAACCCACCGGTAAGTTTAAGAAGGAGGGAGCCCTACCAGACCCACATCTCACCAAGCTCCAAGTTCAGATTCTTGCCCTCCAACAAGGTGGGGAGGGGGGCTTCACCCGACCTGCTGCACTAGCAAGGAGAAGGGGTGGGGGTGGGGTGAAACTGGTACCCCTGCTCCTCTCTTCTCTGATTGGCCGCCAATGCCAGTCCCCTTGTACTTTGAACCAGGGGAATTTCTGCCCTAACAAAGATCAATAAACATGACAGTTAAATATACCCTGGGCTCCTGGATCAGAAGATCTGGTTGTAGCTGCTGTTCACTGGGGAAAAAAGACACAAGTGGGACAACCAGCCAAGTCAGATTTAGATCTGAGGATTTTACTCTCCTATTCATCCTGGTTGTATTGAGGCCTTGACCTCAGTGACAAAAAAAGTAGAATGTTTGGGAACACTATTTCAACAACTAATAACAAAGTGTTTGTGTGTGTGTGTGTGTGTGTGTGTGTGTGTGTGTGTGTGTGTGTAAAGAGTAAGAATAACCCAAATATCAAATGTAGGTTTTGGTTTGGGAGCCAAGACCAGCAGTATTCGGGGCACACTCCTGGCTCTGTGCGCAGAGATCACTCCCGTCAGGTGCTGGGAACAGGGCCCAGGCGGGGCATATGCAATGCAAGAGCTTCACCCACTGTATTATCTCTCTGGCTTGCAATTTCTGTGAGTCTTAAATTACGTCAAAATTAAAACTAAAAGACAGAAAGATCATTCAGGGGTTAGGCTGTTTTCTTGCGTCCTGCTGACTAACCCGGGTTAGAATCACTACTCTACGTATGGTCTTCCCCGAGCACTGCCAGGGGCCACTCCTGAGCACAGAGCCAAGAATAGCACCAAGCACTGCCAGGTACAGCCACAAACCAAAAACTAAAAACAACAACAAAAAATTAAAAGTGGGGCCGGAGCAATAGCACAGTGGGTAGGGCACTTGCCTTGCAGCTGGTCAACCCGGGTTCAATCCCTGGCACCCCATGTGGTCCCCTGAGCAATGCCAGGAGTAATTCCAGAATGCAGAGCCAGGAGCAACCCCTGAGTATTGCCAGGTGTGACCAAAAAGCCAAAAATAAATAAGTTACCCAAAAATGAAAATACACGTATTTGAGAACAAAAAAGGAAGAAACAGGAGCCACAGAAATAGTTCAGCCTTACATGTAGCTCAACCTGAAATTAATCCCCAGCACTACACAGGGTCCCCTAAGCATTGTCAGGAATAATCCCTGAGCACAGCACTTAAGTAAGCACTGAGCACAACCGGGTGTGGCCCAAAACCAAAAAAAAAAAAAAAAAGGAGAAGAAGAAGAAGAAATAAATCATGGGGGTGGGTGGCTGCCAGGAATCAAACCCAGCTTCACATAGGCAAGGCCTATGCCCTACCACTGAGCTACGCCCTGGATCTGAAAGCAACTTCCCTCCCTCACTCCCTTTCTTTCTTCCTTCCATCCCTTCTCCTTCCTTATTTCCTTTTCTCTGTTTTCTTTTTTTCTCCTTTTCTTTCTTCTCACCTTCCTTTCTCCCTCCTTCTCTCCGTCCTTTCCTTCCTTTCTTTTCTCTTTCCTTTCTTTCTTTCTCATTTTTTCTTCCTTCATTTCCTATACCCAGTGAAGCTCCGGGGCTACTCTTGCCTCAGTGCTCCTGAGCTGCTCTCAGCAGTGCTCAGGGAGACTCAGCTTCTGCATGCAAAGCATGTACTAAGCCTCAGAAGCTACCTCTTCAGCCCTGGAATCACTATCTAAAGAAAGCGGGGGGAGGGGGGCGGGAAACAGGGGCCAGGGAGGGTATTTGCCTTGTACAAGACCAACCCGGGTTCAATCCCTGGCATCCCATATGGTCCCCCAAGTAATGCTAGGAGTAATTTTTTTTTCTTTTTTTTGGGTCACACCCGGCGATGTGCAGGCTTTGCACTCAGGAATTACTCGGCGGTGCTCAGGGGACCATATGGGATGCTGGGAATCGAACTCAGGTCGGCCGCGTACAAGGCAAACGCCCTACCCGCTGTGCTATCGCTCTAGCCCCTCTAGGAGTAATTCTTGAGTGCAGACCCAGGAGTAATCCCTGAGCATCACTGAGTGTGACACAAAAGTGAATAAAAAAAAATAGTTACTCATGGCTATAGATCATAATAACTCAGCCAATATGAATTAACAGTATAATTTCAGTGAAGATCCAATTGGTCCCCTGGGCATGATACAAGAGAAGCAATGTTTTGAAGGCAGATGGAGAAAAATGAAACTATCTGGCATTTTCCCTGCTTTTTCCACTGAAAACCATACCCCAAGTGAACTAAATAGGAAAGGAGGCCAGTCCCTCACTCCTGGACAGGCCTGGAGCTCTGTTCAGGGCAACCTGGAAGAAATCCACAAATCCAGGTGCCACTGGTCACCAAAGAGACACCGAAGGTGCATCAAAGGCAGCAAAGGTGCTCAGACCTTCTCCACAGCATCGGATGTGGAGGGCAGGAAAAGGTGGAGCCAGGTGACAATGACCTGGCAGAGGCCACCAGCAAACCTTGCTGCAAGGGGGACATACAATGAAATGGACAGATTGCTCAAGGGGCGGAGTGCATGCAGTGAACGCCTGGCATTCGGGAACTGAACCGGCATAGCCTAGTCCCCTGAGCACCACGGACCCCTGAGCACAGAGCTGGGAATAGCCACCCCTGAGTGATTCGCCCACTAACCAAGATAAAAAAAAAAAAAGGTCTGGAGTGATAATACAGTGGGTAGGGCATTTGCCTCATCACATCTGACCAACCCATTTTCCGATCCCTGGCATCCCACATGGGATCTCCCGAATAGCACTAGGAGTGATTCCTGAGTGCTGAGCTAGGATTAAGCCCAGAGTATTGACAGCTGTGCTTCCCCTTCCCCTGCAAAAACAAACAAACAAAAAACCCCAGCAAGGTAGCAAAAAGGGCAGAAGGCAACACAGCAGGAAAAACTGATCCACACAACTGAGTTGTGGGGGGAACTAAAAGGGAGAGGGCATCGGGATCCTTGAGGGAAGGGGGCAGTGCAGCGGTGATGGGTGTGGCGTTGGGGTCAAGTGCACAGGAAACCATCACTAATAGTACTGCACATCACAGAACCTCAATTAATTTATAAGTTTAAGAAAAATACCCAAACAGGACTTGTATTGCGAACTCACAATACCTAAAAGGAGGGAGGGAGAGAGGAAGAGAGGAGAGAGAGAGAGAGAGAGAGAGAGAGAGAGAGAGAGAGAGAGAGAGAAAGAAAAGCCCATAGAGGCAGGCTGTGAGAGGAGTTTGAGGGGGGCAGGCGGGAGAACCTGGCAACACTGATGGCTAGAAAGGTGCAGTGATGAAGGGGGTGAAGGGACCAGATGTTGGAACCCTCTGTGGCGGAAACTCAATCATAAACACCTTTGTAACTGTGTATCTCACAGTGATTCAATTAAAAAGGGGGGAAAACTTTTGGAAAACAGTATGGACGATTCTCAAAAAATTAGAAATTAAGCTCCCATTTGACCCAGCAGTACCACTCCTGGGAATATATCCCAGAGAGGAAAAAATGTATAGTCGAAGTGACATCTGCACTTGTTTGTTCATTGCAGCACTCTTTACAATAGCCAGAATCTGGAAAAAACCTGAGTGCCCACGAACAGATGACTGGTTAAAGAAACTTTGGTACATCTACACAATGGAGTACTACGTAGCTCTTAGAAAAGATGAAGTCATGAAATTTACATACAAGTGGTACAATATGGAAAGTATCATGCTGAGCGAAATGAGTCAGAAAGAGAGGGATAGACATAGAAAGATTGCATTCATCTGGGGGATATAAAGTAACAAAATATGAGATTAATACCCAAGAATAGCTGAGATCAGCACCAGGAGGATTACTCCATAGTTTAGAGGCCAGCCGGGCATTCTAAGGGAAAGGGCAGCTCAGATAGAGAAGGGAGCACCAAATAGAGGGTCTTTGGAGGATCTTCCCAGGAGGGGAGATGCATGTTGAAAGTAGACTATGGACTGAACATGATTGCCACTCAATGCCTCTTTTGCAGACCACAACACCCAAAAGGAGAGAGAGAACAAAAGGGAATGCCTGCCATAGAGACAGGGTGGGATGGGGGAATGGGGGTGGGAGGGATATTATCCGTGGTGGTGGAAAATGGGCACTGGTGGAGGGATCGGTATTTGATCATTGTATAATCGAAACCCAAGCACAAAAAATTGTAAATCTACAACTGTACCTCATGGTGTTTCACTAATAAAAAAAGGGGGGGGGGTGGAGTTAACAACAACAACAAAAAAGTCAGAGGCTGGAGAGATCCTACAGAGGGTAAGGCACTGGCCTTGCACATGGGTGACCCTGATTCTCTCCCCAGGACTCCATGATTCCCCAAGCACCACCAGATGTGGCCCAAAGTGCCAGCTACCCCCACAAAACTAAAACAAAAAGGAAAAACAACAGGCACTGTGGATCAAGTGTCCACTGTGCACCAGGACGTGAGGACCCTGGGAGCCCCGCAAAGTCCTGTGAGCAGGCAGAGACGCACCCTGTCACAGAAGAAGGCAAGCCTCACTGTGGCCCCTGCTGCTTCAGCCCACTCACCTGCACCCACCAGCTGAGAGAGGAGACACTGGGCACCAAAGGGACAGGCTGGCACAGGGGCAAGGCACCTGTCTGGTCTGCAGCCACCTCTCATGCTCGGCTCCACACAGGGTCCCCCAAGCCACTCCTAGAACGATCCCTGAGCTCTGAGTCTGGAATAAGCCCTAAGCACAACAAGTGTGGCTCAGAAATCAAAAATATTTAAACAACTCCATGGGTGACATTATTTGTCAAAGAAATAACGCGTGTACCACCTACATTAACCAGACTGCTTATTGAAAAAGAAACTACAAAATAAAATGTCCTTCTGGGTCTGCATATTCTCATTTCATGGAGTGGGAATGTGTGTGTGTGTGTGTGTGTGTGTGTGTGTGTGTGTGTGTGTGTGTGTGTGTGTAGGGGGGGAGGTGGGAAGTATAACAGGGGCCGGAGCCAGACAGCAAAGAGGGTGTTTGCCTTGCTCACGGCTCACCAGGGTCAGTCTCCAGCATCCTGTATAGTCCCCTGAGCACTGCGTGACTCCTGAGTGCAGAGCCAGCTGTCATTCCTGGCACTGCACTCAGGATAGCAAAGCGCGGGAGAGATAGGACAGGGGCCGATCTTTGGAACGATAGGAGTGGCTGTGGAGGCCCCAGGGTGGCCGGGGTAGCCAGTTAACCCCAGCTCCACAACTTCAGTTCCTTGCATGAACTTCCAGCCCAGCTGGCCCAGAACTGCTGGAGGAGCTCCAAGCCTCCCCACCACTGCCTGAGAAGCCCTCTCCAGCGCTCATTCCAGTAACATTTGGGGTGTCCCGGATGCAGCTCAAGGCCTTTCACATGGGCTTACACCCTGCGTTCTCCCCCAGCACCGCTGGGAGCCCCCCAAGCACCGGCAGATGTGGGCCCCAAACGGAAATCAGTAATGAGAACAAGCTAGCGCCTGGCTCCAGAGTCCCTGCAGGGAAGGCCAGGGTGGGAATTCTGGGGGCGCGCGGGGGGGTGTGAAGGGGCGCACCTGCAGCGAGCTGTGCACGAAGAGGCAGGAGGAGGCGGCGGTGGCAGGCGCGCTGGAGTCCTGCAGCAGCAGCAGCTGCTGGTCAGTCTTCTGCGTGAACAGGAGCTGCGGGAAGGAGGCAGAGCTGGGCGGGGCGTCGCAGGCCCGCTGGGTTCTCCCAGGAGACCCAGGAAGGAGGTCCTTTAGCTACTGCCTCCTGCAGGCTGGGGCGCTGTGTGCAGGCATCGCCTACAGGGGGCCAGAGATCGCCCCGGCACCCCGGGTCCCCCAGCACTGCCAGGAGGGACCCCTGAACCCTGGGGCAGGGGGAGACCCCAGGGGCCCCCAAAACAAAAAAAGAGTGAGGACTGTGGGCAGAAATGGGGCTGGCGTCTAAACTCTTCAGGATCCCAGAATTCGCAGATGGGGTGGGAGGAAGGAGGAGTTTGGAGGAGGACGCCTCTGATCAGGGTCTTGTGCATACAAAACAAAGCATGACTGGGTCAGAGGGTAAGACAGCAGCGAAGGCCTTTGCCTTGTACCCGGCCCACCCGGATTCCATCTCCCGCATTCCTCTGAGTGCAGAACCAGGAGTAAGCCCTGAACAAAACCAGGTGTGGCCCCAAAACAAAACAAAAACAAGAAACAAAACCCAGCGCTTGACCCCTGGGCCCATGAGGTGGGGGTGGAGAGGATGGAGTCAGGGGTCTGGGAGAGGAGGGGATGGAGAATGGGGTCTAAGGGAGGAGGAGGTTGGGGGATGAACTCTGGGGTGTGAAGAAGGAGGGGAGTTGGGGTGGAGTTCTGAGTCTAAGGGAGGAGGAGAGTAGAGGAACTCATAATCTGAGGGAGGAGGTTGGGGAGTGGACTCTGGGGTCTGAGGGAGGAGGGGTCCTGAGCGTGAAGTCTCCCTACCTTAGTGAGGGCCTGGTTGGGCTCAGAGAAGTCCCCCTCGGGGGTACCCTGCAGGCAGTTGAGCTCAAGTAGCCGGTTCCGTTCCTAGGGACAAAGGAAGACTCAAGGCCGAACCTGCCCACTGTCCCTGGGCCATCCAGCAGCTTGCCAAGGCCAGGAGCCACCCAGGGTACATGGGGTGCCCCAGAAGTGAGGCTGACAGGACAGGCCTCTGTAGACACTCACCTGTGTCAAGGCCTGAAGCGCCTCCTCCTTCTTCTGGCTCAGTCCCCGGCTCTCCGCAGCCATCTGCTCCCCCAGAGACCGGAGCTGCTCCTCCAGCACCTGGATCCGGCGCTATGGGGCAGCCTGGTCAGTAAAGCAGCTGCCCGGGCCCCGGGGCTCCCCACACCCACTCTCCCGCCAGGGAGCGCCAGGGTTGACTGCATCCCCAAATTGGGCACCTGTGTGTGGACATACATGGTGGGGTGGGCCTGAGTCACTTCCCTGGTGCCTTCTTCCCTTTTGGGGGGATCTAAAAAGAGCCCAAGGATGGGATGGAAGGGGATGGAGGATTCAATCTCAAGGCAAAGACTAAAAGAGGCAGAGAGAAAGGGGGGGGGGGGGGGGGGTAAGGCACAGAGAGAAACCAGAATAGATCCAGAAAAGTAAATGAACCAAAACAAACCCCCAGAGACGGCGGTGCAGAGAGGAGAAGGGCCCAAAATAGCACCAAGATGCACAGAAGCTGGGTGAGACAGGAAAGGAAGCAAGAGAGAATCGAAAGGTCCAGAAACAAAGGAGTCAGACCCCTTTGAAGCTACAATTTGGGGAGAGGAATAGGACTGGAACCCAGGCCCAGGGGAGGGATAGGGAAGACCTAGGTTTAATTTCGATCCAGTGGGCTCAAATCCCGCCTCCAGCCTCACAAACTAAGTGATCTGGGGACGGATTTACTGAAACACTGTGACCTTCAGGTTTTTATTTATAACATGGGGGTGCAGGGCTGCAGACAGGATCCAGAGGGAAGGTACTGACTGGTCTTGCATGCAGCCATTTTGTCCACAACTCTGGTTTTATCCCTAGCACCTCATATGGTCCCTCAAGCACTGCCAGAGGTCACTTCTGAGCAGAGCCAGGAACAGTCCCTGAGCACCACTGGGTATAGACCCCCACCCCAAAATAAAATTAAATAGGAATACACCATTCTGTTTCATTGCTGAACTGTGAAAATAGCCAGGTGACAGGCACTCCATTAGAGATTCAGTACATAGGGGCCGAAGAGATAGTACAATGGGTAGGGTGCTTGCCTTGCATACAGCAGACATGGGTTCGATCCCCAAGGCCCCCATATCGTGCTCCCTCAAGTCTCACCAGAAGAGATCCCTGATACAGGGATCTGTATCAGAGATCCCTGGTACAGGGCCAGGAGGAAGCCCTGAGCATCATGATATATGGCCCGAAAATTAAAGGAAAAAAAAAGAATCAGTACATTGGTACTGGAGACCAGTGTTCCTCTCTGGGGAAAAAAAGAAAATTCTGCATTTTGCCTCCAACTGAAATTCAAGGGGATTATGTGAGGCAAATATGCCCCAGTGAGGAAGGCAAAGATTGGCTGCTTTCACCCATGGATGTCCCACAAGGAGATAAAATTGTAGACTAATCAAAACAAAATAAAATATGCAAAACAGGACTGGATAATACAGTGGGTAAGGCATTTGCCCTGCACGCAGCCAACCGAGGTTCAATCTCCGGCATCCCATATGGTCCCCCAAGCACCATCAGGAATAATTCCTGAGCGCAGAGCCAGGAGTAACCCCTGAGCATTGCCAAGTGGGGCTCATAAAACAAAAACAAAAATAAATAAATAAGCTAAGGTTAGACACTCAAGAGAAATTAAAAAAAAAAAAAAGGAACATCAAATGGAGAAAAACAAGATTTGCTCCTGGACAGTTCTCAGGGCTCAGGGAGCAAAAACAAAATGTTCAGGCCAGACCAGGCTCAGACAAATGCTCAGTGACTACTCCCCTCACCACACCCGCTGCTGAGCTCAGGGATCCCTCCTGGCTCTGTGCTCGGGGATCACTCCTGGCTCTGCACTCGGGGATCCCTCCTCCTCTGAGCTCAGGGATCCCTCCTGGCTCTGAGCTCAGAGATTCCTCCTGGTGGTGGTGGTGTGTGTGTGGGGGGTGCTCAGGTATTGAACCCAGGTCAATCACATGCGAAGCAAGAACATTAACCCCTGTGGTGTGCTGCTGCAGAATGCAACCCAGTAGGAAACAAGGCCCCCCTCCCTCCAAAGATCTGAGGCTGGGGGCTGGGAGTGGACCCACCCAGTCTCACCTTGTGCTGCGCCACACTGGCCTGAAGTTCCTGGACCTTGGGGTCAGGTGCCTGGGCCCTGGGGCTGTCCCTGTCCTCCTCCTCCCGCCGGCTCTCCCGCTCCAGCTGCTGGAACTCCAGGTCCTCATAGGCTCGCTGCGCCCCATCCAGCTGCTCCCTGATCTGTGGGTGGAACCCAAGGGGCTCAGTGTTGTTGTGGGCTGAGCCGGCACTCCTGTCTCCTCACTGGAAGAGGGGCAGGGACAGCCCCTCCTGTGGATGCGGGAGTCCTGAGGATCCAGGGGTCAGGGGTCAGGCTAGGCCTTCCGGGTAGAAGAGGGCCACATGTGTGAGTCCTGGACATCAAGGACCTCATCTCCTCCTGCACCCCTCACCTCCTGCACCCCTCACCTCCTGCACCCCTCACCTCCTACACCCCTCACCTCCTGCACCTCACCTCCTGCACCCCTCATCTCCGCTCCCCTTCACCTCCTGCACCCCTCACCTCCCGCACCCCTCACCTATACCCCTCACCTCCCGCACCCCCTCAGGTCCTGTACCCCCTCACCTCCTGTACCCCTCACCTCCTACACACCTGCATCTCCTATCCCTCACATCCCACTTCCTATAGCCCCTTACCTCCTGTACCCCTTGCAGCAGCCGCTCCCGCTGATCCTCAGGCTGTGAATCAAGTTGTCCCTGGGCCTCCCGGAGTCTCTGGCGAAGCCCCTCCACTCGGTCCCGCTCCTGGCTCAGCCGCCTCTGCTCCTGCAAGAACCCCCGGGTCGGGACCTCAGCCTGTGCACAGGGTCTTAACTCCTGCCTGTCTGAGGACAGGGACCCCATCGATCTGGGGCCCCCTGTCTTGTTCTAGAGCAGGTGCCTAGCCAGCTGATAGAAATTGAAGGAAGAGGGCTGGAGGGATAAGACAGCGAGGAGAGCACCTCACTGTCTTGCTCAAGGCTGACCCAGGTTCAATCCCTGGCACTCCATGTGGTCCCCTGAACACCAGCCAGGAATGACCCCTGAGCACAAAGCCAGGAGTAAGCCCTGAGCACCGACAGGTGTGGCCAAAAAAAAAAATCTAGACTTTTGAAGCGACAAGTCAGGGCTAGGAGAAGATTGGCTCACTGAGGGTAAATGAGGACCCGGGATTCAGCCACAGGAAATTCCAACATACAAGATAAGGGCGAAGAGAAAAATGGAGAGAATGCAAAGGGGCTATTTCCACCCTGGAAGGAACAGCAAGCAAGCAACCATCCCTAGCAGGTGCCCAAGAAACAAGTGTCCCTCTGAGTTCTGGGTGCCAGAGAGCACCACCAGAAGGCCACTAACCCGCCTCTGCACCCGAGCACAGCCTTCAAGCAGCAGAGATGAAAAGGGCCTGGGGACGGCCAGCAGGACCCTCAGGTGGACACTGCAGCCCTGTGTGCCTGAAGCAGCCAACAAGGACAGGAAGAGTCGAAGACAACTGGGGACATGTGAAGACTGAGCGGAATAAGACGTCATTCAGGTGACAAGGACATAGTTTTAGTGTTATAAGAAGTCCCTGAGGGGTCGGAGCAACAGTATCTCGGGGAGGTTGTCTGCCTTGCATGTGGCTGACCTGGGTTCAATCCCTGGCATCCCATATGGTTCCCCAAACCCCGCCAGAAGTGATCCTGAGCAAAGAGACCTGGGAGTAAGTCCTGTACACAGCTGGGTATGATCCCAAAACACAAACAAAAAAATAGAAGTGCTTAGACTGTATAGAGCCCTCTGGACTGAGCAGGCTTCGCACAAGAGGCCCAGGCTTGGTTTCCAGGACCACATGGTCCCCTGAGCACCACCAGGTGTGACCCTCCACCCCCCTAAAAAAAAGTGCTCATCTGGAAATCATACAAACTAGAGGATTTACAAACAATTCAATATCTGGGAGTTTACATTAATTTTTTAGTTTTGGGGGGAGGGGCACACCTGAGGTGTTTGGGGACTACTCTAAGCACAGTGCTCAGAGATCACTCCCTGAGGAGCCTGGGTGGGGGGCAGTTTAAGTCCCAGGTTCTTGCTCTAACCCTCTGAGCGTCCCTTCAGGGTCCATATTTTTTACTTATTTATGTATTTATTTGTAGTGCTGGGGGTGACTCCCAGGGCCTCTCTCAAGCAAAGCAGGTATACTTCCAATCATATCCATACCCCCTGGGATTTTTTTGGGGGGGTCACACCCAACGTTGCACAGGGGTTACTCCTGGCTCATGCACTCAGAAATTACTCCTGGTGGTGCTCAGGGGACCATATGGGATGCTGGGAATCAAACCTGGGTCGGCCTCGTGCAAGGCAAACGCCCAGCCCACTGTGCTATCGCTCCAGCCCCAGGTATTGTTTTTAAAGCCCGAATTTGGGGAGGGAAGGGGCAGAACAATAGTATAGCACGTATAGCATTTGCCTTCCATGTGGGGACCCAGGTTCAATCCTTGGCACCCTATATGGTCCCCTAAACCCCACCAGGAATGATCCCTGAGTGAAGAGCCAGGAGTTAAGCCTGAGCAATGCAGGGTATGGCCCCCAAACAAAAAATATATACATACTTTTTTTAAAAAAAAAAGCATCAGCCCAGTTGGGAACCGAATGCGGGACAGGAAAACAGTGGAAGGGTAGTGATCACCGAGCACCACATGGGGGCGCTCTGACTGTTCCATTCTGACAGTCCAGTTCCACGTTTTTTCCCAAGATGACATCTGGAGTCTAGGAGAGGACGTTACGGTCCGGAGCAAGGTAGGGGGGGTGCGTTGTTGAACCAGGGCTCCTGCCGCGCCCCAACGCTTTGAACCCTCTGCCAGCCCTTTACATAACGACGTCTAAAGTATAAAGAGGGGCAAAGGAGTGATCCAGTGAGTTGGACCCCAAAATCATGGTGACGGAGGATGGGAAACAAGCAGTCAGGCACCTCCAGTCCCGCCCAAGTATCTCCAAGTGGTGATGGGACAAGTCTGAGTCCCAGGTCCCGCCGGCACCGCCAAGCACAGGAAAGGCGAGGCCTGACGGGCCGCACAGACCTGCTCCCGCTGCTCCTGCGCGCCGCGCTCGGCGTCCACTTGCCGGCTCAGCAGCTCCCGCAGCTGCTCCTCCTCGCGCCGGGCGGCCACTCGCTCCCCGGCCAGCTCGCCCCGCAGCAGGGCCACCTCCACCTCCATCTGCCAACGGAAGGGACAGCAAACGCTGACGGCTCAGGCGCCTGCATGTGCAGGCCGGGCTGGGGTCTGCGCCCTTGGGGGTCGGGAGGGCTGGAGGTGTAGAGAGGGACCCCGCAGGATGGACCACCCTACCCCGGTTCGCTGAGCTGGGCCCCGACGTCCCAAGAGGTGGGCAGGCTCACCTCGATCCTCAGTTCCTTCCTCTGGCGCTGCAGCTCCTTCACGCGCTGCTCCATCAGGGCCACGCGCGTCAGCGCCTCCAGCTGCTGCCCTCGAAGCCGCCGCGCCGCCCCTCGCACCCCCTCCCCAGAAGAGGAAGGGGCAGGGGGCGGGGCCGGGACCTGCTCGGGAGGCGGGGCCTCCGCCTGAGGCGGGGGCGTGGTCAATGGAGGTCACGCCCCCGCGGTCTAAAGTCCGTCTATCTGTTTTCCCCCCCTCTGTCTGGTCCCCCATACACACCAGCACCTACAACCGCTCCATCTGGGAGTCTGAGCCTCCAGATTAAAAAAAAAACTATGACTTCTTTGCGGGGGTCTCAGTCCCCATAACGGGGGGAGTCTGGTGCCAGGGACAGAATCAGGGATTCGTGCATGCAAGGCTTGCGCTGTCGCCTGGGTCCCCTCCCGCGGCTGCAGACCTAGGAGCCACTTGGCCGCGGGGAGTCTGGCGCCAGTTCAAGCTTCTTCCTCTCTCCAGGTCCCTTTCTCTGGGTCCCCGCTGGGGGCTGGGTCTCTTGCGAACTCCCTTGGGGTACTCCTGAGTCGCCCCCGGTTTCTGCAGTGACTCTCTGTGACTCAGTCTCTGCCCGGGTCTCTCTCTCTCGGTGACTCTCTGCGTCTCTGAGCATCTCCGCTCCTGGGTTTCCTTCTGTGGGCGGGCGGGGATCCCTACCGCCGTGTCCGTCTCTCTCCTCTGCAGTGACTCTCTCTGGGTCTCTGTCCCTATCGTCCCTGCCTGTCTCTGCTCTCTCACCGCGGCCTCCGGGGGTCCCCGACCCCGTCCCTGGGTCTCCGGCCCCATATGCCTGTCCCTCCCCGTCTCTGGGGCGCTGTCCCTCGGGTTTCGGCCCGTCTGGTTTCTCTTTGCTGACTCCGTCTCTGTCACCCACTCGCGCGCCCGGGCTCCCGGTGACGACTGTCGCGCTCCGGGTGTCTCACCGCGTCGCGGCTGCTCTCGGTGCTGCTGCCTTCCACTTCTTCCTCTTCCTCGGCCTGCTGCTCAGCCCCTCGGACGCTCGGAAGCTCCGCCGGGGCCTCCTGCTCGCGGGGGTCCTCGGGCTGCCCCTGGGGCTCCGAGGCCCCTTGGGGCTGGACCTCTGCGTTGCACTCGGGGACCGGCGGCGGCGGCGGGGACCCCTCATCGGGGCTGCTCGGAGTCCCCATGGCCGCTCGGGGCTCCGGCGAGGTGGGCGGGGCGCGAAGTTCCGGGGGCGGGGGCTGCTTTGGGGGCGTGGTCTAGAATCGGGGCGTGGTCGGGCCGCGTGGGGGCGTGGCCAGACGTGCAGCGCTCCGCGGCTCGGGCGCCGGCAAAGGGTCCTCGGAGGCGGGCCTGGAAGTTCAAAGGCTGGAACTGAGCACCCTGGGGCGTGGCCTGGAGTTTCTGGGGGCGGGGTTCCTGGGATCCCCGGGCGCCCAGCCCCCGGAGGCAGGACCGGGATTTGAGTACCGGGTCGTCCTAGCCCGCCGCCTACAGGTCTCTCCCTCCCTTCCAGATGTCCACCTCGGACCCCACCAGGTGGCCCCTTACTTTCCCGCAACCCCTCCTCCTCCCTCGGGGACTCTGGAGCGCCAATCTCCAGCAGCTCGCAGTCGCGGCTTGGATCCCTGGTGTATGCGCGGCGCCCCTGCAGCTTGACCCAGGAATCCGGGAATCCCGGCTCCTGTTCTCCCGCCGTCTGCCTCACCTGGCCAGACCAGGAACCTGCGTCCTCAGCTCCTGCCGGGAACCAGATCCCCGCGCTCCGGCCTCCTCCTCCCCGGCGGCCCAGCCCCGGGCTCCCCTCGCTGGCTCCGGCTCCGGCTGCGGGGCGGTCCGCTCCGCGCTCCGGCCGCTGCACTGTCTGCTTGCCCGCGAGACAGGTGGCAGGGCAGAGGGCGGAGACCCAGGCTCGCCGCCCCCTCCCCAGCCGCCCGGAAGTGGGGGGGGGACAACAGGTCCGACAGCTCCCGAGGGAGGAGGGAACCAGCAGCCGGCCCCGCCCGCGGCCTGGGCATCCGGCTATCCCAGCCCCACCGCCCCACCCTCGGATCGTTCAGCGGCTGCGACCCCCGGCCCCCGCCTCCCACTTCCTGGAGGGCCAGGGTCCGGGGCACCTTGTGTAAGCGCCCCCCTCTCCCTTAAGCTCGGACCCCGGGAGATCCGAGAGGAAGAGGGCCATGGAGATAGGGACCTCTCCCCTCTAATGAACGCTTTCGAAGGGCCCCAACCGGTTTGGGGAGCAGGGCAAGGGGAGGGGGTGCCCTGAGTTGAGTCAGCGACCCGCCCAGAAACAGGGGGAAAATGTGGACTCCCCACTTTGCCAGGGGCGGGGAGAGCAGAGGTGAAAAGGTCTCAACCCAGACCCTTTCCTCTCTGGGTCCAAACAGGAAAATGTTATGTTCCAGGCAGGGAAGAAAAGCTTGTTGGCTGTTCGGAGACGTCACGGAATTTCATCCTTCACACCGTGGCCCCCGAGAAGGTGCCTTGCACGCAGCTAACCCGGGTTTAATCCCCAGCATCCCATGTGGTCCCCTGTGCACCACCAGAAGTAATTCCTGAGTGAAGAGCCTGGAGTAACCCCGGGCCCAAAAAAGGGGAAAAAAAGAGTGGGGGGAAACTGAGGCTAAGGGGAACCTGGGTGCCCCCACTGTATGTGGGCAGTTAATGCTGATGCCAGATTCATTCTCTGCAAAATCCAGAGAAACTCACTCGCAGGCAGGAAGTGGCTGGAAGATGCTTCCAATGATAGTGACAATAATGGGCTGATAGGAAGCCTGCTGGCAGGTGGGGACACACCACACCCCCACTGCATCTCTGGGGATGAAGCAGATGGTCACAACACTCTGTTATGATTTCCATTGTCCCGAGGAGGAGGAAACTGAGGCTGGGGAGTGAAGCGTGGGTGTTCTCATCAGAGGCTGAGTAGCCGCAGCCCACGCCCCGGGGGCTTCTGATCTTGTGAGTAAGAAACTGTCCTGCTTTGAGTGCCCTGGACCCACCCCACCCCGCACTGCAGTGTAGACCCTGGGGTTTCCCAGGAAACAGACAAGTTTAGAGCAAATTCAAAAAGATTTTTTATTGAAGAAGCTGAAGGGCTTGGGTGAGAAAGGAGTAGAGGGGTGCGGGCAACAAGGGGGGAACCTCTCCCCAGCCCCTCTTAAGTGCAATTCCTAATGGCCAGGAGCTGCTGGCAGAGCCTGCATCAGCTGGGGGGACTCTGGACCCCACAGCGCATATTAGCTGGAACAGCGACGTCTGAAAGGAAGAAAATGGTGGGAAGGAATTGAGGGACCTGGGCAGAGCCCTAGGACCCCACTGGAAACCCAGAAATCCTGAGAGCACTTCGTATTTGGGAAACTAGAGTTTTGGCCTGGAGTGTCTCCTCCCTCAGACCCAGGGGTGCATCTCCAATCCCTCCTCCCCCAGACCCAGGACTTCAGGCCTTGAGGCTCCTCCTCACCCCTCCTCCCTGGGACCCAGGCATCCAGGCACTCACCTATCTGCCGAGGCTTAGGCAAGTTCAGGTTATTCATGACCTTGATAAACTCCTCGCAGCTGAGTGTGAGCCGAGGGTTCAGAGTCCGCTCCTCCTCCACAGTGGACACTGTGAGCCCTAGGGGCAAAGGGAAAGGCTAGTCAGCTGGTCAGGTGCCTGTGGATCCCAGAACTACATTTCCCGGGAGGCCACAGGAATAACGATATCCCAAGTTCCCAAGGCTGCAGGACAGGGCACTCTGGGAAATGTAGTTGCCCACAGCTCCCTCCAAGGAAATCCAGGAAACCGTCCCTAATTGTAGGACTCCTAGTTTCTACATGCACAGCCAGGACACTGAAGCATTTGATCTTTGGGAACTGTACACGCCCCACACAGCCACGTGCTGCTCCTCCATTAGATGGTTATCGGAGTCCCACACCTCCTCCAGGCAGCCCTCACCGTGGTAGTCATGAGCAGGGTAGACCAGACAATCTCCTGGAAGCGTGAAGATCTTTTCGTGGACTGAGTGGTACAAGGTCTTAGCACAGCCTGTGGAGGGAAGAAGGAATAGGTCAGCGGTCAGTGGTCAGTGATGAAGAAGCACAAGAGTGGCCCCTAGTGTCTCCCCTTGGGAAATGAGTGGGAGAATCCATGAGGGCAGTGAGCCCTCTCCTGGTTTCCCACCAGCATGCTTGTGGAGTGAACGGGCAGGGAAGGGCATTCTGGGCCGGTGGAACAGCACATACAAGGTACGAAGGGGCAGGGAGTACTGGGTTGGGATGAGACCCTCAGGCACTTGGAAGGGGGGTGGGGGGAATTGAGGAGAGACTCCTGGGTCCAAGGGAGGAGGCCCTCCAGGCCAAAACTCTAGTTTCCCAACTACAAAGTGCTCTCAGGATTTCTGGGTTTCCAGTGGGTTCAAGGGTCAGTCCCTCAATTCCTTCCCACCGTTTTCTTCCTTCCAGACGTCACTGTTCCGGCTAACATGCGCTGTGGGGTCCAGATTCCTCCCCCCGCCCCCCAGCTGACACAGGTTCTGCCAGCAGCTCCTGGCCATTAGAAATTGCACTTAAGAGGGGAGGGGCTGGGGAGAGGTGCCCCCCTTTTGCCCGCACCCCTCTACTCCTTTCTCACCCCAGCCCTTCAGCTTCTTCAATAAAAAATGAGGAGGTAAGCATGAGGAGATAAGAAAAGGAAGCCAGGAAGCAGAGGGAGGAGGAGGCCACTGGGGTCCCACCAGGAATCTGGGGTAGGAGCAAAGCTCTGGGGAAAATTCTTCCACCTCTCATTTGGGCCTAAGTCTCTCAGTTTCCCAGCTGTGCAGGGAAATGGAGGGAGGGGTGGTGGTGATTAGGAGCCGCAGAGAGAAAAATACAGAGTAGATGGAGAGATAAAGGAGGCTAGAAAGAGGAAGCTCCAGGCGGCCTGAGGAGGGGCTGGCCCCAGCCAGCAAGGCCCTGGCTCTTCCTCTCCCCCAGGGGCCTTGCCCGCCAGTGTCATCCCCAATGCACGCCCACAGAATCCTGAGGTTGTATAGGGGTATGAGGGTCACAGTTAGGGTAGGGGTGATACCTGGAATGCATGCAAGGGAGGTAGGCGCTCTGGTTCTGAGCCACTTTCCCAGCCCTTCACCCCTAAGACTCTGAAACTAAACACCCTGTCTGCTTGAACCCCTGGATCTTGCAGCCCCCCTGGATCTCACAGCCCTCAACAGTCAGACCCCAATGTCATGCCATCACCCCCCCACCACACACACACACACACACACACACACACACACACACGCACACACGCACATAAACCGCGCCCTAGCAATCAAACCACTGAATCTAACAATCTCTTAGCAACAGAATCACCCCATCTAACTGGCCTGGAGCAGCTCATCTCCCGCCTCCAAGTCCGCATTCCTCCCTCGGCTCTCTCGCAACACCACCAGCAGCCAAACCCTCCATTAGGGGCCTTTTTAATAACAGGTGTCCACAGAATCTTTGATATTCTTCTCTTCGAAAGCTGACACTTGGTCTCTCTTCACTTGGACGGAGGTGGTCCAGACCAAGAGACTCGCGTCTAATAAAACAGACACAGGGCCAGGGAGACGCCTTAAAGGGCCACCAGCATCACATATGGGAGCCCCACGTTTGATCCCCAGCACTGCATTGTCCCCTGAGCATCATCAGGAACAGGCCCTAAGCACAGGCTAGGGGAACCCCGTGTACCACTGGGAGTGGCCCAAAATAAAATAAATAGGATATTGCAGAAATGACAGTTTAATTCCTGACACTAGGTCATGGGGGTGGGGGGAGGGGTTCCTACCTGGCAGTGCTCAGGGGCTACTCCTGGCTCTGTGCTCCAGGAAGCACGTGGTGCCAAGGATTTAGCTTCTGTGCTCTCTCTCCAGCCCTGACACCACCTCATTTTTTTAAACAAATGCTTTCAGGCTCAGAGGGTGTTTTCCAAGGGTAAGGTCCTTTCACTACCCTCACTGGCAATGTAAGTTTCTTTTTTGTTTTGGGGTCATACCCAGCTATGCTCAGGGGTTATTCCTGGCTCTGTACTCAGGGATCACTCCTAGCAGTGCTCAGGGAACCCTCTGGGATGCTGGGAATTGAGCCCAGGTCGGCCGTGTGCAAGGCAAATGCCCTCCCCACTGTGCTATGACTCCAGCCCCACATCCATGTTTCTTCAATGTCTGTCCACCTGCCCATCTGCTCTTGGAGAATCCACTGAGTGGATGGGTTGGGAGCTGCTCAGAGGACGAGGGTGGCCGGACATGCACAGGGCACTCAGCTCGATCCACACTCCCACACACCGTGGAGTGTAGCCCTGGAAACACCCCCAAAACACACACACACACACACACACACACACACACACACACAAATTTTTTTTTAAACCCAAAAGCAAAATACATGGCGGAATGCCTCCAGCAGCCATGTGGTGATCACTGGACCTACTGCTGATGACCAGGCCCTGCACTCCAGCCTCAAAGGATGCCCCGGAAGTGGCTCCCCTACCCTGATCAAGCCTCTGGAGGTTGGAGTTGGGCCCAGGGGCTTGAACGCCACCTCGCAAGAGCCTCAGAAGCAACAGCTGATCCAGCGTCCTGACTCAGAACTGGGGTGAGATCAAGTTCCCCGAGGCCTGGAAACGCTGAGATCCAGGGTGTTTTGTTTCCCGGTTTTTGGATCCACAGGCGTGCCCGAGTCTAATGGGCCTCCAAGAGATAATACCCCTCTTCCTCTGAATCCCCACACTCCAGCTAAGCTAGAAGAAAATACTCAAGGCCAAAAAGAGCCTGGGCTGGGGGGAAGGGGAGGGGGGCACTTGCCTGACCTGTACAACGGCAGTCCCATCCCAGACATGGCACAGGGTAATCCCCCACACCCCCAGGAGTGACCCCAGAACAGTTCCCAGCACTGCAGGCTATGGCCCAACACCCCCATTTAAAAATTTTTTAAAAAGCCTGATATTCATTCATTCATTCATTCATTCATCCTTGCCCTGACACCTGAACCCCAACTCTCAGCTCTCCCAGGGGCTGGGGGTGGGGGGCCAACCTTGTTGGAAGTCGGTTCGGCCACACCCGCGGATGAGCAGGGCGTCTCCAGTGAAGGCCATACTGTGGTCATTCAGCACGAAGGTGACACAGCCCGGGGTGTGGCCAGGGCTGGCACGGGTCTCCAACACCTGGTGGGGACGGAAGGAAAGAGGGTCACCAGTTACCAAGAAATCAGAGGGAAGGGTCCGCTCCCCGAGAAGCCCCCCAGGGAGCTCCCTCCCCACCCAGGGCTGGCCCAGGCCCCAACCTCACACCAGACCTCACATCAGACCTCACACCAACCCCACATGGCCTCAAGGCCAGGAAACCACAGGCTTAGATGGTGCCCCAGAAAGGAAAAGAACTGGGGCTGGAGCGATAGCATAGCAAGTAGGGCATTTGTCTTGCACGCAGCCAACCCAGGTTCGATTCCCAGCAGCCCATATGGTCCCCCCGAGCACCGCCAGGAGTAATTCTGAGTGCATGAGCCAGGAGTAACCCCTGTGCATCACTGGGTGTGACCCAAAAAGCAAAAAAAAAAAAGAAAGGAAGAGAAGTGAGCAGCACAAAGGAGAGCCTGACCCACGCAGCAGGAAGGCAAGACCAGTGCTCTGAATGGGAAAAAATGTGTGAGCAAAAGCAGAAACGCGAGTTTCTCTGTCTGTTACTTTACTTCAGGGCCACACCCAGGGGTGCTCCAGGAACCCTGTGAAGAGCCAGAGGCTGAACTGGGATGGGCCACACTCAGGGAGAGTGCCTTAACCCTGGTACCACCGCTACATCCCCCGAAACAGTACTGAAAGGGAAGGGTCGGGGAGGTGATGCAGAGGTCTGGGGTGCAAGTTTCGCGTGGGGGGAGGCCCAAACTCCATTCCCCACCACACACACCACCATCACCACCAAAAGGGGACCCGATTACTGTTAGGTATAATGCAAACAAACAAAAAGTTCCTTATTTTTTTTTTTAGTTTTGCTTTTAGTCAAACCGAACAGTGCCAGGAGTAGCTCCCTGCTCGAGAGGCTTGGTCCCTAGCCTTCTGCACACAGAGCACAAGAACTCATTCATAGAGCCTTCTAGAACCCCAACTCTGTAAAGTGGCTTGTTAGTCAACTGGGGAAGCAAGCTCTAACACAGACACACAAAGCCGACTCAGCTTTGATCCCTGGCATCCCATCCCATATAGTACCCTGAGTGCAGAGTCAAAAGTGAACTGAGAGAGAGAGAGAGAGAGAGAGAATCTCTGCATGCACGCACAGACACACAGGATGATGCTAAACACAAATATTTAATGACCTGAGGAAAAGTTTCATCTAGTTAATGCAAGAAGCATGTTACAAGCAATTTATACTGCCTCATCTTTTTAAAAATGTATTCCTAATTATCTGGGGAAGAATGAAAACTAGGCCTTCAGTGACGCACAGAATGAAGCATATTTATGAGCTGCCTTACAAGGTTGCACAGCTGAACCCCAGGGAATGTCAATAAACCCTTATTCCTTCAATCTAACATTTTTTCTATTCATTCATGAACTCTAAAGATTTTTTCTCCCTTTGGGCTTGTCCTTCATTATCCTGCTGTTTTCACAGTTAACAAGTAATCACACCATTAAGAAGCCCACAGTAAGGAGCTAAGAACGTGCTCTGTACACAGGAGGGCCAGGTTCGACTCTGGCACTGCACAGGTCACCGAGGGACACTGGCAGTGAAACCCAAGCAGGGACACAGGCAGTGAAACCCAACAACAGTAGCCCCACTGGCATGACCCCAAACACAACACAACTAATTCAGGACACACACATCTGACAAGACCCCGCCCTGAAGACCCTGGTCAAAGATGGCCACGCAGGGGCCCCTCATCAACCACACACATCCAATGGGTGAAGGGAAGCAGGGAGAGGTGCAAGGAGACTGGGCAATCTGGGCAATCTGACAGACATTTATTTTACTTTATTTTTTTGGGGGGGGGCACATCTGATGGAGCTCAGAGATCCAAAACCCAAATATATATATATATATATATATATATATTTACATATATATTAAAATTACATTATATATTATTACTTTAGTTTATTATTGTTATTTTAGTTTTTAGACTAGTAGTGCTCAAGTTACTCCGGGTGGGATTCAGGGAGCCATGTGGGATGCCGGGGATCAAACCCAGGTTGGCTGCATACAAGTACTATCTCTCCAGCCCTCCAAATTATATACATATGTACTGTCACTGTCCTCCTGTTGTTCATCAATTTGCTCGAGCGGGCCCAGTAACGCCTCCATTGTGACAATTGTTACTGTGTTTGGCATATCGAATACGTCATGGGTAGCTTGCCAGGCTTTGCCGTGCAGGCGAGATACTCTCGGGCTCTCCAAGAGGGGTGGAGGAATGGAACTTGGGTCGGCCATGTTGGCCGCTTGCAAGGCAAATGCCCTACCCACTGTGCTATCACTCCAACCCATATATAGATTTATATAATATACACATATATTTTGGTTTTTGGGGGCCACACCCAGCAATGTTCAGGGCTTACTCCCGAGTCTACACTCAGGAATTACTCCCGGCAGTGCTCAGGGGATTGCGAGGGATGCCAGGGATCGAACTCAGTCGGCCACCTGCAAAGCAAACACCCTCCTCGCTTGTACTATCTTTCTGGCCTGGCGAATTGTAGTTTTTAAATGACACCACAAGGACACAATCAGGTACAAGCAGAATAAGGTGCATGGTTCAAGACAAGCTCTGGAAGTCAGGGTCGAGACAGCAAGAAGACAAAACTGTTCCCCATTAGAATGGTGAAATAAACACCAGGCAGAAATCTCCACCATAAAAATGGTGCTCACTGAGGGCTGGAGAGCTAGCCCAGGTATAAAGGTGTCTGCCCGGCATGCGGCTACGTTGGTTCAATCCCGGGCACCGCATCTGGTCTCCCTCAGACCAGCAGGCCTGACCTGACCGGTATAGCCTGGTGCGCGCTCATACTGCAGGTTCCATTCCTAGCTCTTTCCATGGGCAGTTCCCACGGCCCACACTGCCCCCTGGTGGCCAGAAGTTCTCAGTTTCTTTTCCATTTGGTGCCTGCAGGTTGATTCTCTGGCTTCAGTATTCACACATACTCTAGAGTTTCTAGCTCTTTAATTTTGTTGGTTTGGGTTCCATATTCAGTGATACAGGAGCTATTACTGGGAAGAGCAACAGCCAGAAAGTGAGCCCAGAGCATACACTCTTTTAAGCTGTCTCCATGTATATATTTCCAGTCCTTTATACTCAAAAACTCAGAATGGGAAGCTAGCAAGGTAGCACAAAGGTAAAGGTGCTTGTCTCCCATGTGGCCAACCCCAGTTCGAATCCCCAGTGGCCCATATGGGCCCCCAAATACCACCAAGGAGTGAATCCTGAGCACCACACCAGGAGTTTTCCTCTAATCATCACAAGATATGGTCCAAAAACCAACAACAATGTTAAAAAAGAAACCCTAACACTCAAAACGCCATTTTCTGGGGCCAGAGTGATAGTGAGTAAAGCATTTGCCTTGCGCATGGTTGACAAGGGTTTAATCCCCAGCACCATATATAGTCCCCAGAGCACCACCAAAAGTGATGCCTGAAAACTGGGAATATTCCACAGCCAGAATCTGGAAACAACCAGAGTGCCCAAGAACAGACGAATAGATAAAGAAACTATGGCACATCTGCACAATGGAATACTGTACAGCTGTTAGAGAAAAAAAAGTCATGAAATTTGCCTATAAATGGATAAACATGAAGAATACCATGCTGAGTAAAATGAGTCAGAAGGAGAGGGAAAGATATAGCATGACTGCATTCATTTGTGGGATATAATATATATACATATGTGTGTGTATATATGTATATATGTATATATATACATATATATATATTAGAAGACTAATATCCATGGCCAGAAAAGAAACAAGGGTTAGGAGTGCTGGTCAATGGTTGGAACTAACCACAAGTGTTTGTGGGGCTGAGGGTAGGTAAGATAGAGAAGAGACCAGTATGACAATAATAGCTGGGAATGATCATACCGCATAAGATCTGAGGGTCAATGATCACGTGACAAGACCTGATTCTCTTGATAACCTTTCACTATCAATACTGCAAACCACAGTGCCCAAAGAAAGAGAGAGAGAGAAAGAGAGAGAAGAGAGAGAAGAAAAGCAACTGCCAAAGAGGTAGGCAGGGGGGGGGTGGAAGGTGATGGGAGGGAGGGTCCCTAAGGACACTGGTGCTGGAAAATTACACTGGTGGAAGGATGGGTGTTGGAATACTGTATGACTGAAATCCAATCATGAACAGCTTTGTAAAGGTCTATCTTACAGTGATTCAATAAAAAAGTAAAAAAAAAAAAAAACTGGGGATAACAGTGATGGGAAATGAACACTAATGAAAGGATGGGTGTTGCAATGTTAAATGAATGAAACCCAATCATGAACAACTTTGTAACTGTGTATCTCACTGTGATTCAATAAAAAAATTAAAAATTAAAAAAGTTTATAGCATCACTGTGAGATAGACCTTTATAAAGCTAGATAAGATAAGGTTTCAGTCATACAGTGTTCCACACCCATCCCTCCACCAGTGTACATTTCCCGGCACCAATGTCCCCAGTTTCCCCCCATCAACTCCACCCTACCTTTTTCTTCTCAGATCTCTCTCTCACTCTCTCTCACTCTTTCTCTTTCTCTTTCTTTCTCTCTCTCTCTCTCTCTTTCTCTCCCTCTCTCTCTCTGTTCTCTCTATCTCTGTTTCTTCTATCCTAAAAAAAATTTTTTAAAGTGATTCCTGAGGGGCTAGAGTTACAGCACAGCAGGTAGGGCATTTCCCTTGCATACGGCCAACGCGGGTTCAATTCCCAGCATCCCATATGACACCCCCCTCCCCCCGAGTACCACCAGAAGTAATTCCTGAGTGCAGAGCCAGGAGTAACCTCTGAGCATCACAAGGTGTGACCCAAAAAGTTTAAAAAAAAAAGCGATCCCTGAGAGCAGAGCCAGGAGTAAGCCCCGGGCATCACTGGGTGGGCCCCAAATAAAACAAAACAAAACAGTCATTTTCCATTGTAGTCAAATATTCTGAATCTTTCTTTCATGAAGAAAACAAAATTCAAATTATTCATTCTGTTTAGAGGATACTG